AATTTTTTGGTAATTTTTTCTTCTCCATTTTCTTTTTTTCTCTCTCTGTAACCATGCTTACCGTCAAATGATCAGTAACTCCCCTGGACAATTCTGTTTTTGAGTTACATTTTCCACTTCTGGGGGGTGTCCTCAGTTTACTCCCAACTTTTTTGTTGAATTTATTTCAGTGTATCATGTATCTTTTTTTTTTAAAGTGTATAGCATTTTGGATTTCCATAAGCTATTCGTTACTGGTTGCTTTCTGAAGCATCCATTCTTACTTTATAATGAATGTCTTTTGCTCCTTTTGAGAATAGTAATTTATTAGCTTCTTTCCCCATATTTCCTCTAAGTTGTTTTTTTTGTTGTTTACTTTGGTCTTTCTTTTTGGATACCTAGTGATCCTTGGTGTTTGTCTATTAGAGGGAAGCACTAAAAAAGATGATTAGAAATTCATGGTTACTAGTGGACTTCACTTGGGTAGGATGGTCAAATGACAAGCTAGCTTTGTAATTGGAAGCATTCCAAATATCAGTATCCAGAAGTGTCTAGTATTTTTGTTTGGTTTTCTGACAGCATTGTAGGGACAGCATCAGGAAAGAGAGAAGTTTTGGGTCTCAACTTAGAGTATGTAGATTTTCTTTTATTCCTTATACTTAACCTTTGCAGAGATGTTGTATATTGGGGGAGGGGTTAGTGGCTTACAAGGGAGTTCCTTATTCTCCAAAGAATAAATACCCTATTTTTTGAAAGAATGGAGCTGTAGGAAGAATTGGAGTTTTTACTGCTCCAAGTGCAGATTTTAATTTGGCAACTCCACGCATTATCCCTTTATTATGGCATCTTGTATCTCCAGATCATGATTCTTTCTAGGATGCTATGGCTTACTGCTCTGCCTCCAGTTCCTACCTTTCTGTAAACATGCATAGGAAATATTATCCTCTCCTGAATTATTCTACCTCTCCCCCAACTTTTTTTGATTTTCCAAATTACATTGAAATCTCTTGCCTTTTATGATCCCTTTTCCTATTCTTTTCATAGTTAAAGCTTTTGGATTCATCAACTGTCATTTTACAGGGATTTTGGGAAAAGGGACGAAAATACGTACATAAAGATAATTGGTCATGTTTAACTGGAACTTCAAACTGATCTTTTCTGATAAGCTGCCTTTGATTTAATCATGTTCCAAAGTATAGCTTTTTCTTTGGTTCCTCAGATATTCTTAGATGAATAATTCTAATTGATACTTGGCTTGAGTTTTTATCTTTTTCAGGTCTGTTGTATATCTCCTACTGTAGCATAGACCTTTCGTTTTGTTGACGTTTTAGCTCTCTTCACCCTCTTTTCTGTCATTGGTTGATACCATGTTTTTGGCAGATAATCTTTTGTAGCAGAGCTATATGATTGATCTAAAACTTAGTTGATAAGTTAATGAATTGAAAGTGAATTAGGTATTTTTAACTTAAATGTTTAAATTTGAATGTTTTAATACAGCAGATATAACTATTTAGGCTGCATATCAGGCAAGTAAAGCACATTAATTTCAGTCCACTGCCAGAAAAATAAGGAAATGATTTTTGACCTTGAAAGTGGTAACTGGGACAAGCTGAAGACATTATTGTGATTTCTTTTTACTGTTACTTTCTTTTGCCCTTCTCATTTTACTCTCATGGCTGGTGTCATCTCAGTTGTTCAGAAGCCGTGCATTGTAAATGTCTTTCCAAGAAAAAATTTACAACTTTTTTTTTCAACTCCATAAAATTGTTTTCATAGTTACACCTACTGGTAATAGTCTAAAACTGGAAACAATCCAGTGTTCACCCACAGTAGAAAAGAGAAATAAATTGGGTGTATTGATACAGTGAAATGTTACATAAACCACAGAATGAATTAATCTCACAAATATAGTGTTAAGCAAATGAAGCCAGACAGAAAAAGAGTACATGTTGTAAGAATCCCATTTATATCAGTTCAGTTCAGTTGCTCAGTCGTGTCCGACTCTTTGCGACCCTATGGACTGCAACATGCCAGGCTTCCCTGTCCATCACCAGCTCTCAGAGCTTGCTCAAACCCTGAGTGTCCATTGAGTTGGTGATGCCATCCAACCATTTCATCCTCTGTTGTCCCTTTCTCTTGCTGCTCTAAATCTTTGCCAGCATCAGGGTCTTTTTCAAGGAGTCAGTTCTTCCCATCAGGTGGCCAAAGTATTGAAATTTCACCTTCAGCATCAGTCCTTCCAATGAATATTCAGGACTGATTTCCTTTAGGATTGACAGGTTTATCTCCTTGCAGTCCAAGGGACCCTCAAGAGTCTTCTCCAACACCAAAATTCAAAAGCATCAATATTTTGGCACTTAGCTTTCTTTATAGTCCCAACTCTCACATCCATACATGACCACTGAAAAAACTGTAGCTTTGACTAGATGAACCTTTGTTCACAAAGTAATGTCTTTGCTTTTTAATATGCTATCTATGTTGGTCATAGCTTTTCTTCCAAGGAGCAAGTGTCTTAATTTCACGGCTGCAGTCTCCATCTGCAGTGATTTTGGAGCCCCAAAGAAGAAAGTCTCACTGTTTCCATTGTTTCCACCTCTGTTTGCCATGAAGTGATGGGACCGGATGCCATGATCTTAGTTTTCTGAATATTGAGCTTTAAGCCAACTTTTTCACTCTCCTCTTTCACTTTTATCAAGAGGCTCTTCAGTTCTTCACTTTCTGCCCTAAGGGTGGTGTCATCTGCATATCTGAGGTTATTGATATTTCTCTCAGCCATCTTGATTCCAGCTTGTGCTTCTCATGCCCAGCGTTTCTCATGATGTACTCTGCATAGAAGTTAAATAAGTAGGGTGACAATACGTCAAGACAATAAGCTTTGACATACTCCTTTCCTGATTTGGAACCAGTTTGCTTTTCCATGTCCAGTTCTAACTGTTGCTTCTTGACCTGCATATAGATTTCTCAGGAGGCAGGTCAGGGGATCTGGCATTCCCATCTCTAAGAATTTTCCAGTTTGTTGTGATCCACACAGTCAGCTGCTTTGATGTAGTCAACAAAGCAGAAGTAGATGTTTTTCTGGAACTCTCATGCTTTTTTGATGATCCAACGAATGTTGGTAAATAAAATGTAACTAATGGTGACCCTTGGCATGTGTTGAGGAATGTTTACCCTAGGAAACTCAGAAATTTCTCTCACTTTTGAGAAGGGGAGGCAGGAAAACAATTTACAGCATGTAGTATGATGTCTTAATAAAGTATGTGCAAAGTAGAAGCACACTTGATCTTGTTTTAAGGCTGTGCTCAGTAATTGAATGTGGAATATATAGACTTTGCAGGCATGTACAAAGTCCTGTGAGAGCGTACTGCATTAAGGAGTGTACAGATAATACAGTATAGCTAATGCTTACAGTATGACTATTGAACACTAATCTCACACGCTAGTAAAGTAATGCTCAAAATTCTCCAAGCCAGGCTTCAGCAATATGTGACCTGTGCACTTCAGATGTTCAAGCTGGTTTTAGAAAAGGTAGAGGAACCAGAGATCAAATTGGCAACAACTGCTGGATCATCGAAAGAGCAAGAGAGTTCCAGAAAAACATCTATTTCTGCTTTATTGATTATGCCAAAACGTTTGACTGTGTAGATCACAAAACTGTGGAAAATTCTGAAAGAGATGGGAATACCAGACCACCTGACCTGCCTCTTGAGAGACCTGTAGGCAGGTCAGAAAGCAACAGTTAGAACTGGACATGGAATAACAGACTGGTTCCAAATACGTAAAGGAGTACGTCAAGGCTGCATATTGTCACCCTGCTTATTTAACTTACATGCAGAGTACATCATGAGAAATGCTGGGCTGGAGGAAGCACAAGCTGAAATCAAGATTGCCAGGAGAAATATCAATAACCTCAGATATGCAGACACACCACCCTTCAGAAAGTGAAGAAGAACTAAAGAGCCTCTTGATGAAAGTGAAAGAGGAGAGTGAAAAAGTTGGCTTAAAGCTCAACATTCAGAAAACTAAGATCATGGCATCCGGTCCCATCACTTCATGGCAAATAGATGGGGAAATAGTGGCTGACTTTATTTTTCTGGGCTCCAAAGTCACTGCATATGGTGACTGCAGCCATGAAATTAGACGACGCTTGCTCCTTGGAAGGAAAGTTATGACCAACCTAGACAGCATTAAAAAGCAGAGACATTACTTTGTCAAGAAGGGTCTGTCTAGTCAAAGCTATGGCATTTCCTGTAGTCATGTATGGATGTGAGAGTTGGACTATAAAGAAAGCTGAGCGTAGAAGAATTGACGCTTTTGAATTGTGGTGTTGGAGAAGACTCTTGAAAGTCCCTTGGACTGCAAGGAGATCCAACCAGTCCATCCTAAAGGAGATCAGTCCTGGCTGTTCATTGGAAGGACTGATGCTGAAGCTGAAACTCCAATACTTTGGCCACCTGATGTGAAGAGCTGATTGATTTGGAAAGATCCTGATGCTGGGATAGATTGAGGGCAGGAGGAAAAGGGGACGACAGAGGATGATATGGTGGGATGGCATCACCGACTCAAGGGACATGGGTTTGGGTGGACTCCAGGAGTTGGTGATGGACAGGGAGGCCTGGCGTGCTGCGGTTCATGGGGTCACAAAGAGTCGGACACAGCTGATCAACTGAACTGAACAGGAATAGCAAGAGTCAAGGGCTCATGTCTGATTTTATATAGAGATAAAATTGAGTAAGGAAATAATTCAGGCTTTGAAAAGAAAAACGGAGGTTTTGCATCACCACTTTTATCATGTTTGCTTCATTTTATGTACAGTAGGGAACCTTTGATGAAGTTCAAACCTCTATGTCTTGTAGCAGGTGAGTGATGATAGTCTCACAGTTTACTATAGCAGATTTAGTTACTTTGCATGGTTAATTCTTGATTTTTGAACTGATCTTTAAGGAGAGGATTAAGAGTCAAAGATTCGAGTGTTTTCCCAAAGGCAAGTAATCAAAATTTGCATTTCACAGGAAACCTTAAGAATGGAGTCTAAACCTTCAAGGATTCCAAGAAGAATTTCTGTTCAACCTGCTAGCTCTTTAAGTGCTAGGTTGATGTCTGGAAGCAGAGGAAGTGGTTTAAATGATACCTATCACTCAAGGGACTCTTCCTTTAGACTTGATTCTGAATATCAGGTAACATCTTAATTTGAAATATGTGTTCATACAGTCTCATTTTCAAAGTCCTTGGAGCCATATTATTTTCTGGAGTTTAGAAAAGTAGTAGAGTGTGTTTTTAACACCTCAGCTGGACCTGAGGCATCCTGTAATCAAAATATTAGTATATTTCTGCACACTGATTGAATGTTCCATACTAAGTAGCAAAAGCTTGATGTTTTTCAAACTTTTTGGACTTAGGAATTTTGAATAAGGAATTGTGATCATATAGAAAATGTTCATACTTTCCAAAGACTCGCAGACCTATTAACCTAAAAACATTTAACTATCAATTTAAATTAACAAGCTGTTCTTTGATGAAGGTACATCACTAACATTCTTTTATATGAATTAAGGGGTTTTCACGGTTTGTAATGAGTTGATTGATTTGTAATTTACATAAAGTGACGTAAGTTCTTTTTATGTAGCTAATTTTCATTAGAACTAATAGCGTTGTAGTCTAGTGGTGTAAATCTCAAGAGTCTTGGATTGTAGGTTTAATTCAGTTTATCTTGCTTGTCTATCACGTTTTATTGCATTATTGACTGAAAACCTGATTCAGTCACATGCGGTTTGCAAAAATCTAATGTTTTGGTAACTGACTCTAAAAAGAATCCTTTAGTGGAAATGTTTATTTATGTCTTAATATTTATATATTTATGTATCATGCAATATACTCTATTAACAGAAGTCATTTAGAAGCATTTCTGCATAGTAATAAGCATTTTATACAAATGAAATAAGGTAATTTCTCTAAAATGCCCATATCTACTGCCAGCTTGCTAATGTTATATGTATTGTTTATTTAGACTTATTCTAAATGTTGTTTTGACAATGTATTTGTTTTACTCTGTTGCTAGGCAAGAGTATTCTTGCCAGAATCACGTTTTTCATTCTGCTGGAAATGTAGGTTAAATGGTTGTGGCTTTTGTTTTGATATTTATTTATTTGGTTGTGTCAGGTCTTAGTTGTGACATGCAGGATGTTCGTTGTATCATGTGGGATCTTGTGGCACACAGATTCTCTAGTTGTGCTAGACAAGCTCAGTAGTTGTGGCTAGTAGGCTTAGTTGCTCCATGGCATGTGGGATCTTTGTTCCCTGACCAGGGATTGAACTCATATCCCCTGCATTGCAAGGCGGATTCTTATCCACTGGATCACCAGGGCAGTCCCTCATTGTGACTTATTAAGAGCACAGAATTGGGGGTTTTTCAATACAGTCTTGAGGAAATTTTGTCTGCTGATCTGTGTCCGGTTTTTCATGATTAGTGAGGAACACAGACTGTAAAACAAGATTAAAAATCTTGACTATATTTAGAAAATTTATTGACATCCCTTTAAAATACTATTTCCAGAGTTTTCAGCTTATTCCTAACTAATGTCATAGATTATTCCAAAAGTCTAAATTTTCATTGTGGGAGTTAAATAAATGCAAACATTAAAAAAAAAAGTAAATGTTTTATTGACTCAATAAGATTAATTAGTTTTGAAAATTTTGGGGTTTTCCTTAATGTTTTTCAGTTATTTAAGTGGCTTTCAGCCTTTTTTTCCTAATGGGTTGCATTACATTTCCAGATTGCTTTGCTGTTTTATTTTTTATTTAGAAACTGAAATTGCTGTGTTCTGAGTAAAGTAGTTTTCTGTTTCCTCTTATGTGAAATGATAATAAGGGTGATTTTCCCATACAGTTACTGTTTTAATTGGAAGAAGTACTGCATGTAAAGCACTAAGAACAACAGTGCCTGGAACCTAGGAAGAGTTCAAATGTTAACTGGTTATAACGATTGTTACTGCTGCTGTTACCATTTCCTGACTTTGGCATTGGTTTAAATGGATGATAAATATCCTTAGGGGGCAGTATAATATCAGATTATATATCACATAATTTTTCAACAGGATGTGTATTTAATGAATGAAAGAGACCTTTGACTATCAAAGGGAACGTTTTTGGTTAATTGTTGGTATTTTCTGACTCAAAACTGTCTGCAACATAACACTCCCGTTTATTGCACTTAGTGAACCTGAAGCTTTAGAAAGGAGAGTCAGGTGACAGGGCATAGTAGATCATTTATGTTATGGATCAAATGATGTGAAAATACCTTATTTGTACAGTGTTTGACATACTGCAGAACATTTTTCATTTTTAATCTTAAATACACAAGGACAGATGCTTGTGTCATTTCATAAATAAAGACCTGAAATCTGGATAAATATGTGGCTTCTCCCAGCCACACAATTGGTGTACAGTGTGCCTGAGCTGAAGAATCTAAGACTTCTGGGTGGCATTGTGTCTTTGGGAAATGTAGGTTCTAAGTTCCAAACAATTGATTTTCTAAATATCTTTTAGTTCTTGTCCATTTTTAAGCTGGGCTGTCTGTTATTAACCTTATTGATATTTCTGCTACTCCATCTTTAAATTTTTGTTACAATTTGAATGGTGCAGAACTATGATCATCTTATCTCTTTGGTAGCAGTAAGTAGGATTTTGTATGTTTTTGAAAGAAAATTTAATTTACGTGATGGTTAAAAGTGAAAATTTGGGAGTATTCTGTGAATATGTAATTATTTTATTTATTTCTCTAATTTAAGCAACCTCTTATCCCACTTTCTGCTTTGTGGAGAGATTGCTTTTTTTAATATGAAATGATAAAAGAGGCTTTTTATGGAAGTTCTAGGTTTTTACATCATTTTTTAGTTTATATATTAACTCAAGGAAGAGCATTTTATTCTGGAGTCGTACTTTCATTACTGTGCATTACATTATTTCCCATGATTAAGCATTGTCTGGTAGATAACATTCATTTAAATAATAGTTTTATTAAGATATAAATCAGATAGCATACTACTTGCCCATTTAAAGTGTACAATTCAGTGATTTTTAGTGTATTCACAAATAATTTCTCCCATTCTGTAAGTTATCTTTTCATGCTCTTCATCCACTTCTTAATCTCATATGAATGGTCTTAGTCTCTTCAGGTAATGACTGCAAAAAAATTAATTGGACATAACAGATAAAAAACTTCAGTGAGTCAGGAAGTGCCATATTTCATGCAAAGATGGGAAAAAATGTTTCATGCAAACATTTCATGAAAAGATGGGCTCAATAAAGGACAGAAATAGTATGGACCTAACAGAAGCAGAAGATATTAAGAAGAGGTGGCAAGAGTACATAAGAACTGTTTACGACCCAGATAGTCACAATGGGGTAATCACTCACCTAGAGCCAGACATCCTAGAATGTGAAGTCAAGTAGGCCTTAGGAAGCAACACTACTAACAAAGCTAGTGGAGGTGATGGAATTCCAGTTGAGCTATTTCGAATCCTAAAAGATGATGCTGTGAAAGTGCTGCACTCAGTATGTCAGCAAATTTGGAAAACTCAGCAGTAGCCACAGGACTGGAAAAGGTCAGTTTTCATTCCAATCCCAAAGAAAGGCAATACCAAAGAATGCTCAAACTACAGCACAGTTGCAGTCATCTCACATGCTAGTAAAGTGATGCTTAAAATTCTCCAAGCCAGGCTTCACTAGTAGGTGAACCGTGAACTTCCACATGTTCAAACTGGTTTTAGAAAAGGCAGAGGAACCAGAGATCAAATTGCCAACATCCGCTGGGTCATCGAAAAAGCAAGAGAGTTCCAGAAAAATATCTACTTCTATTTTATGGACTATGTCAAAACCTTTGACTGTGTGGATCACAAAAACTTTAAAATTCTGAAAGAGATGGGATTACCAGACCACCTGACCTGCCTCAGGAAGCAACAGTTAGAACTGGACATGGAATAACAGACTGGTTCCAAATACGTAAAGGAGTACGTCAAGGCTGCATATTGTCATCCTGCTTTCTTAACTTACATGCAGAGTACATCATGAGAAACCCTGGGCTGGAGGAAGCACAAGCTGGAGTCAAGATTACTGGGAGAAATATCAATAACCTCAGATATGCAAATGACACCACCCTTATGGCAGAAAGTGAAGAAGAACTAAAGAGCCTCTTGATGAAAGTGAAAGAGGAGAGTGAAAAAGTTGGCTTAAAGCTCAACATTCAGAAAACTAAGATCATGGCATCCGGTCCCATCACTTCATGGCAAATAGATGGGGAAACAGTGTCAGACTTTATTTTTCTGGGCTCCAAAATCATTGTAGATGGTGACTGCAGCCATGAAATTAGAAGACGCTTGCTCCTTGGAAGGAAAGTTATGACCAGCCTAGACAGCATATTAAAAAGCAGAGACATTACTTTGTCAGCAAAGGTCCATTTAGTCAAGGCTGTGGTTTTTCAGTGGTCATGTATGGATGTGAGAGTTGGACTATAAAGAAAGCTGAGTGCAGAAGAATTGATGCTTTTAAACTGTGGTGTTGGAGAAGACTCTCTTGAGAGTTCCTTGGACTGCAAGGAGATCCAACCAGTCCATCCTAAAGGAGATCAGTCCTGGGTGTTCATTGGAAAGGACTGATTTTGAAGCTGAAACTCCAATACTTTGGCCACCTGATGTGAAGAGCTGACTCATTTGGAAAGACCCTGATGCTGGGAAAGATTAAGGGCAGAAGGAGAAGGGGACGACAAAGGATGAGATGGATGAAGGGCATTACTGACTCAATGGACATGGATTTGGGTTAACTCCGGGAGTTGGTGATGGAAAGGGAGGCCTGGTTTGCTGCGGTTTATGGGGTCACAAAAAGAGTTGGAGATGACTGAACTGAACTGAACTGAAATGCCATATATATGTATGCTTAATCACTCAGCTCTGTCTTTGCGACCCTATGGACTGCAGCCCACCAGGCTCCTTGGCCCATGGGGATTCTCCAGGCAAGAATACTGCAGTGGGTTGCCATGTCCTCTTCCACGGCATCTTCCCAACCCAGGGATTGAACCCAGGTCTCCTGCATTGCAGGCAGATTCTTTACCATCTGAGCCACCAGGGAAGCCAAGTACCAAGAGTACTGGACTGGATAGTGTATCCCTTCTCCAGGGGACCTTCCTGACCCAGGAATCTAACCGAGTTCTGCATTGCAGGTGGATTCTTTACCAGCTGAGCTACTAGGGAAGCCCATAACAGTGCCATGAAGAGTGAAAAGACAACTTACAAAATGGCAGAAATTATTTGTAAACCATATGCCATATGAGAAGGAACTTGTAACCAGATTATATAAAGAACTCAGGTTGTAACAAAAAAACAACTCAGTTTAAAATGAGCAAAGCAACTGAACAGACATTTTTCGAAAGATGTATAAATGGCCAACAAATACATGAATAGATGCTCAACATCATTAGCCATTACTAAGTGCAAATCTACACTTAATGTGACACCACTTCATACCCACTAGAATGGGTAAAATAAAACAAGTGAGACAATACCAAGAGTTGACAATGTTGTAGAGAAATTTGAACCTTCAGCTATTTGTAAAGCCGCCTCAGACAACCACTTTGCCTCGCATTTCATTTCCTTTGGGATTGTTTTGGTCACTGACTCCTGTACAGTGTTAGAAACCTCTGTATGTAGTTTTTCAGGCACTCTAACAGATATAATCCCTTGAATCTATTCGTCACCTCTACTGTATAATAAGGCATTTAACCTAGGTCATATCTGAATGGCCTTGGCTAGTGGTTTTCCCTACTTTCTTTAAGTCTGAATTTTGCAGTAAGGAACTGATGATCTGAACCAGTCTGTTCCAGGTCTTATTTTTCCTACTGTACAGAACTTCTCCATCTTTGTCCACAAAGAATATAAACAGTCTGATTTTTATATTGACCGTTTGATGATGTCCATGTATAGAGTTGTCTCTTGTGTTATCAGAAAAGGATGTTTGCTATGCCCGGTGTGTTCATGTTTTAGGAGCATATAAAATGCCCATTTAAAAAGATTGGGGATGAGGTTAAGTAATACTTGCTATTTTAGATTTACAGAAATAGAAGTTCTTTCTAAATTTTAAATTAAAACTTGAAAAATATTTTTGATCTTTGAAATTCAAAGGTCTTAAAATCATTGGCCTGCAGGATTAGGTCCCTGATAGATGATGGTGGCTCATAACACGGTTTTATTTTGAAATATTTAATGAATTTCATTTCATGTGCTATTCAGTTCATTGATTGCGTCTCTGTGGACGACTTGGTAGAGAAGGCTTGTGAGACCAAGTTTGTACTAAGCTAATTGCAGCCATAAAATTAAAAGATGCTTACTCCTTGAAAGGAAAGTTATGACCAACCTGGATAGCATATTTAAAAGCAGAGACATTACTTTGCCAACAAAGGTCCGTTTAGTCAAGGCTATGGTTTTTCCAGTGGTGGTCATGTATGGATGTGAGAGTTGGACGGTGAAGAAAGTTGAGCGCCGAAGAATTGATGCTTTTGAACTGTGGTGTTGGAGAAGACTCTTGAGAGTCCCTTGGCCTGCAAGGAGATCCAACCAGTCCATCCTAAAGGAGATCAGTCCTGGGTGTTCATTGGAAGGACTGATGTTGAAGCTGAAACTCCAATACTTGGGCCACCTCATGCGAAGAGTTGACTCATTGGAAAAGACCCTTATGCTGGGAGGGATTGGGGGCAGGAGGAGAAGGGGATGACAGAGGATGAGATAGTTGGATGGCATTACTGACTCCATGGACAGGGGTTTGAGTAAACTCCAGGAGTTGGTGATGGACAGGGAGGCCTGGCGTGCTGCGTTTCATGGGGTCGCAAAGAGTCAGACACGACTGAGCAACTGAACTGAACTGAACTGAAGGAGTCCTACATTTAATTAACAAAATATTCTCTGGGCAAGAGTTAGAAGAAATCCTGATCTGCCCATTAGTACTTCTTCAGTTTTGTATCTTATGATTTTCCATATATGTGCATGGTTTATTCTTTTGAGTTACAGTGGACTAATACAGTTTGCTGTATACTGCAGTATACTTCTCACAATTGAAAGATAATAGAAGATCAAGTAAGTAGTGATGCTTTAGAAGAATTCCCATGGTAGAATAGTTAAGACATTTTCTTATCTTTTTGTGTTATCTACCTATAACCTCCTTCCTCATTGCCTTTTCAGTGAACTCCAGTTATCACCTTCTATTTGTTCTCCCCATTCCTTAGACATAGTTAAGTTTTTCTTTTCTGTAGAACTTTCAACATACTTCCTCTTATAGTACTTACTCATATGATAACTATTTGTTTGTTTATCTGTACTCTTAAACTGTTTGAACATGTTGTTTGGGTACTTATGTTTGAATATAATGTTAATATAGACTGAATTTATGGTCCATGATAACATTCCATTTTTAACTTTGTTTTGTGGAGAAATATATGATCTTTCTCTCTGTGTGTGTATGTGTATTTGTACATTGTAAAATTTTTGTGTTATTTCACTCTGTTGTACATGTAATTATATGTTTAAAGAGAAAACTTTGAGTAAGAGTTTGAGTTAAAATACATAATTTTAGCTGTTTCTTTGATGAAGAAATTCTATATTTTAGTTTATATTTTAGTTTTTTTTTGTTGTTAGTACCATGTATAGTGTTGTATGACTATTCCTGAGAATGGGCATAAGATCCAGATGTGTTTTTGATTACTTGAAAATCTTCTTCTTAGAGTACTCACAGTCACTTAGTGCCTTTCTTGGTGATGAAGAAGCAAGGTTCCTCAATGGGTTAATATTAAACCTGGAGAACAAAATAGTTACATATTAAGTTTTACTCTTCCCTGTTTCCTAGCCTAGTGTCTATATTCGGTTACAGAGAAGACATAGCTGAATCAAATTGCCTGTGTAGCAAAACAAGTTACCATGTAAAGGGACAAGTGGTAGAAGACAACAGAACCTGCATGGTAGAGAAATTTGTGCTTGGTGAAGAATGAGTGATCCTCGGCAGTTTATTAGAACACTATCGATTAAATTTAATATTTCAACTTAATATTTAAAAATTGCAAGTGTTTTGTTCCTTTGTAAAATTTCATTTTAACTTACAGTCTGCATCAGCAGCTGCATCACCATTTCAACCTACCTGGTATAGTGAGTCTGAGATAACTCAGGGAGCACGCTCAAGATCACAAAACCAGCAACGGGATCATGATTCAAAAAGACCTAAACTTTCTTGTACAAACTGTACATCTACCTCAACTGGAAGAAGTGTTGGACATGGTTTAAATGCAGTATCAGGTAATAATTAAATTTATGTACATGTAGTCACTATATGTGTATTTTCGACAAAAGCCCTTTTCCAAAGCTGTTCTGTTTTAAGCAAGTAGATTGCATGTGAGCCTGAGTCAGAAATGAGTGGAACTTCCAAAATCTTACCTTAGGTTAGTGCTGGAACTGAAATTAACTCTTCATCTTGGATTTTTGTTCTAAATTTGGTAAAAATGTCATACACAAATAGGATATTAACAGATTTTACTTAATTAGAATAGCTGATATGTTATAGTAGCAAAGTTTGTAAAACTGACCTGTCTTCTGCTCATTATTATAGGAGATAAAGTTTTAAATTGTTACTGGGAAAGCCAGATTTACAGATAACATGTTTAAAATGTTTCCTTAGTGTATTTGTAAATAATACACATTATGCTATATGACACTTATTTTAAGAAAATGTAGAAATTCTTTAGTTGAAAAATTGTTGGTGGTATTCTACTGGGAGTTCTCTACAAGGAATTGGGAAGCTATGATTCTAGTCTTAATATTGTGTAACATTGGAGAAATCACTGAATCACTCTGGTATGAAAGACTTAGGCATAAAATAATTGAATTAGCATAAGCGATTCCTTTCTATTTTGTTAGGTAGGACCACCATGGGAAAGACACTGGCCATTTGAAAGATATTAAGAGTAATGTGATGGGTAAGAGCAGACTGACCTTAACTTTGTAGACAGATACCGTTATGTAGTGATACTTTTGTTCTCTTCTGCTCTGTGAAGGCATAATATTAACCCCGGGCCTTTTCCCTTAATGAAGGGAAATTATTTAAGGAGTTTAGGACTAGGAGAGGAAGACCCAGAATTTCAAGATAAACAGTAAAGGGGGGTAAGTTTTGAGACTTAATTTTTAATTTCTTTTTAAATGAAATTATATCTGACAAAATTTAGATTATAATTGGAATGATACATTAATTCTTAGCATAAGGATGAATGAAGTATGGCAGCAATAATAGTTGTGACAAAATAATGTAACTTGCTATATAACCTCTTTCTTTTCAAGATGGCTTTGATTTTGGCTGTTCTCATCACTTTTGCTGTAATCATTTTTACATCATGTGTATATTGTGTATTCAAGGTATTTTAGGGAGTGACTGAGATATTGGCATCCTAGATGAGGGATGGATTTCAGTATTAGAGAAGAACGTGTTTGAGTAGGAGATAATTTTATGAGTGATTAGTTCATTAGTGGATTTTGCTTTTGATTGCAGCTGTATAACTGGATTCCTATGCTGCGTGCATGCCTGGTCACTTCAGTTGTGTCCGACTCTTTGCAACCCCATAGACTGTACCCTGCTAGGCTCCTCTGTCCATGGGATTCTCCAGGCAAACATAGTGGAGTGGCTTGCCATGCCCTCCTCCAGGGGTCTTCCTGACCCAGGGATTGAACCCACTTCTCTTAAGTCTCCTGCATTGGCAGGCAGTTTCTTTACCACTAGCACCACCAGTAAACCATAATTATCTCTGTGTAGTATTGAAGGTTTGTTGTCATCAGAAACCTTGAAAGCTTTCTCTGAATTAAAACTTCTTCAATTATTTTAAGATTCTACTTGGAGGCATAGTCAAGTTCCCAGATCTTCATCAGTGGTACTTGGATCATTTGGAACTGACTTGATGAGAGAGAGGAGAACAGATTCCTCCATTAATAATCTTGCGGATTATAGTCACCGAAGTGGTGATTTCACAACTTCATCATGTATGTATAAGCTATATTGTTATGCATAATTTATCTAATAATGTTACATTTTCTTTGTATCATTAAAATCACAGTACAGAGGAATAAATGAAATAAATACTATGAAGATTTAGAATATAGGATAGTTTGATATATATTCTAGGACTTTGTTGTTTTACTGTAAAAATGGTAACCAATTTAAAATATTTAGACACAAATATCCAAATTCTGATTACTTATAATTTTTCCACTCTTCTGAATATGTTTTATACATACTTGATAATGCTTGTATGCTGCAATATAATTTGCCTTATGAATTAAGTAAAACATGAAATTATCATTTTAAGATATAATTTAGAATTCCTTTAGTTTAGCATGAGTTTGTTTTTGTTTTCATTTAGTTGAAATAAAGACCCACACTGTTTCTGTCAGTGTGTGTAAGCCTAAATTAAAAAAAAATAGAAGTCCAGTGAGTTATCCATTATGCAGTGATGCCACCTGAAAAAAATTAATGCGATTAAATAAATAAAAATAAAACAATAATAGTAAATAACTGAAGATAAAAGATACTAACTGAAGTTGATAGTCATGGCAGACAAAAGTGGAATTTGATTTATAAAGAAGAATATACATTTCTATTGGAAGGTTTAACTAGATTTGTTAAATGATCTTACTAGGGCAGTTTGTTGGTTTATTTAAGACAAATGAAAGCGTATCTTCATTTGCTTGACTTCGGATGGAGAATGGTTAGGGTTAGGTTAGTGTCAGTAGCTTCTAGGTTTGGGGAGTATAAGTATATGGAATAGATTAGTCCCTAATAGTTGATTCTTCCATGAGGTACCATGTGTTAGCACAGTAACAATCTAGTTCTTAAAGTAGATATATGAATGAATATTTTTTATAAAGGAATGCTGTGCTATTTCTCATTCCACTTGAAGGTTAGAATCATCAGTAATGTATTGTTAAAATTGCAGATGCCAGAGCCCTATTCTGACTCAGAGTTCCTGGCCAGTATTTTTTTTTTTTTTTTAAAAACATAGTATGGTTGATGAGTAATCAGGGATCAGAATCCCTGTTGTTAGCCTTGGTTTGCCATAAAATTACAAGAATGATAGTATTTACATGAAATAAATTTGTACTTATTGCAGAGTAAGAAAAATTTCCAAAACACCATCTCCCTATGAGAATTTTGCTTTTACTTGTTATGAGTCATTTACATTGAGTTTTTGACCGATTTAAAATTCCTTATCCATTTAGATATTAGGTATTCTTCTCCCATATCAGTTTTTGTTCAGTATATTCAACTATTATAGCTTCATCCAGGTTGGTAGATTGATGTTTACCTCTTATAAAGCTATAGTACATTTCTGTTTTTAAAAATTTGTAATGATGACTTTATTCAGCAGCACTGGATTTTACCAACAGTGTAGACAGATAGTTAAATATGTTAGTTTTTTTCTGTAATAGTAGTTAGGCTGTGTAATTATAATATGCCAGTGATCAGTTTGAATCTAGGGGTTAATTTTGGCATTAATTAGTGGTTAATAGACTTAAATTTAATAATACACTGATAATTCATGTAATTGGTCATCTTTTCCTTTTTTAAAAAATAGATGTTCAAGACAGAGTTCCTTCTTCATATTCACAAGGAGCAAGACCAAAAGAGAACTCATTAAGCACTTTACAGTTGAGTACATCATCTACTAACCACCAAATGCCTTCTGAACATCAAACCATACCATGTTCTAGGGACTCTGGTAGAAATTCTTTAAGATCAAATTTTTCTCCAAGAGAATTAGAATCTCCCCAAAGCAGTACGCAGCCTGGATTTTCTTATACTTCAAATAGAGGTGAAACCTCAACTATAGGCAGTTCAGATAGGATTAACTCATCTCACAGATCATTTCAAGAATCTGACAACGAAGGTAGACGCACAACAAGGAGATTGCTGTCACGTATAGCTTCTAGTATGTCATCTACGTTTTTTTCACGAAGGTCTAATCAAGATTCCTTGAATACAAGGTCATTGAGTTCTGAAAATTCTTATGTTTCTCCAAGAATCTTGACAGGTTCTCAGTCTCGTGGTAATGCAGCATCAGCTTCTGATAGTCCTGATAATAGGGCATCCGAAGCTTCTCAGGGATTTCGATTTCTTCGGCGAAGATGGGGTTTGTCATCTCTTAGCCAAAATCATAACTCTGAGCCAGATTCCCAGAATTTTAACCAAGAATCTGAAGGTAGAAATACAGGACCATGGTTATCTTCCTCACTTAGAAATAGATGCACACCTTTGTTCTCTAGAAGGAGGCGAGAGGGACGAGATGAATCTTCAAGGATATCTACCTCTGATATGCCATCTAGATCTCATCATCTTTTTAGAAGAGAATCAAATGAAGTGGTTCACCTTGAAGCACAGAGTGATCCCCTTGGGGCTAGTGCCAGCAGACCGCAAGCATCTGCAGCACCCAGCAGTGTTGGTACAGGTGACTCCCCGTCAGATTCAACTCGTAGTGGACGAAGTACAGGAATAACAGGGATCCTTCCTGGTTCCTTATTCCGATTTGCAGTGCCCCCAGCACTTGGAAATAATTTGACTGACAATGTTATGATCACTGTAGATATTATTCCTTCAGGGTGGAGTTCATCTGATGGAAAAAATGATAAAACTAAAAATGTACCTTCAAGAGACCCGGAAAGACTACAGAAAATAAAAGAGAGGTAAGTTTGAATACATGTCTTAAGCCTGTAAAGCAGGAACAGATTAGAGAAAGAACTGTTTGTTTCTAAAATCGTTTCTCATAAGAGTGATGTCTGAAATTTTCTTCCTTTAAAATTTACACCCAGTAAGATGTTAGTATCTTGCTCAGAGGTAAAATGGATGAGAGTTAATATTAGAGGTAGGTACGGGGGCCGCAGATTGCATTGAGAAATAATCTAAAGGTTGTTTTTAACCAGCTTTGGACACAGATACATATGGAGACAAAAAGCCTTAATCTCTTACCCTTTTTCTTGGTAGGCTAGTGCTACATGGAATTGTAAGTTGGCCCAAATGGTCATGTGTATCAAGACAATATTTCACCATAATAAGATAATTAATAAGATAATTTATTTACCATTTATATTTCTGATTTCAAATCTTTTTTGGGATGAGGTAAAATAATAGATTTTTAAATTTTGTTTTTAAGGTCTAAATGTATGCTGAATTACTGTGACCAACAGAAATGTCAGTTTAAATTCAGGAATTAGAATCTTTTATTCATATGAAATAGAGTTTAGATTTGCTTAAAAATCTCTGGAGAAGGATGAAAGATCAGAGCTTTTCGGTCCAACTTAATTATTTTGTCGTGTTAGTATTGTTGCTTAGTTTTTCCATCTATTAAAATTACTTTTATGATGAAATGGGATAGGATAGTGCACATAAAATATACTTGTAAGAAGAAAAGATTTATGTAATGCTAAGGTCGTTGGGTGTTTTTGGTTTTTGTTTTTTCTTGTTCATAAAGGCCCCAGTAATGAAATTGTTGGGGAACATAGTTGTTACTATTATTTTAGATTTTTTTTTTTGGTTTTTAACAAGAAATAATTCAAATCTTACTCTGGGTAATAAAGGGAGCCTCATATGCTTTCTAAGATAGTGAATGTAGACTAATATGTTTCCAACTTCTCTTACAAAAAAAAATTATACCAAGTGATGATTCTCATAAAATTTGCTTTTTCTCCTTTCATGGAGAAGAATTTACTCTGCTGTGGTAGTGTTAGGTTTAAGATTATAGGAGCAGCCCCTATTTGCAAAGTGTCTACTGAGTAATATAGTAAGTAAGTACTATATTTCTTGTGCTCAAAGTGAGATTAATTTGAGTGCAGTAGTGTAAGTAGGCAAAGCATTAGTTTACTGATTTCCAAAGAGTAGCCAATTAAGCCAGCACTGCCCTGTCTGGTTAGCTAGTTCAAAAGCACATTTGTTTGGGCATTTTGACAGGGAGTTTATATGTGTGTGTGTGTTCCTTTATTATGTTTTTCATTTATACGTGAGGATTATAAGATACTTTACAATTAAATGAATAAAAGTGTAAAAAAATGGACTCTCCCAAAGTTAAAAACTCTGAGCCAAAGGAAGTCACGTCTAAAGGTAAAACATAAAGATGAATGTTCAGGGGGCTTCCCTGGTGACTCAGTGGTAAAGAGTCTGCCTGCCAGTGCAGTAGACACAGACTGGATCCCTGGTCCAGGGAAATCCCACATGCCACAGAGCAGCGAAGCCCACGCGCCATAAGTCCTGAGCCTGTGTTCTAGAGCCCAGGAGCCGCAGCTGCTGGAGCCTGCACGCCCAGACCTTGTGCTCCGCCGCAGGAGAAGCCTCCTCGGCGAGAAGTCTGCACGCCACAGCCGCAGAGCAGCTCCCACTCAGCGCAGCTAGAGAAAAGCCCGTGCAGCAGCACAGACTCAGCCGGAAATAGATAGTAACTGTTTAGAAAAAACAGAGGTTCATACTTGAGGTTATAGCTCTGGTTAAGCCTAGGTATGGAAGTCACCTCAAAGTACATCTGTTTCTCTTTCCACAAATCTTTTGCTAAACTCATTTGGAACCCATATAATCCAGGTTGTATTTCAATTAAAGTTTAGTATTCCGTATCATCAATTTATTGAGTACCCTTTTTGTGTCAGCAGTGGACTAAGGTGACAGATTTTAATCAAAAAAATTACTTGTTCTATAATGATCATTTCTGCATTTAAATAAGCAGTACATGTTGGCCTGTGAAATAGAGGATGTGGGTTAATGGGAATTGCTCCACACTTTAAAATCCTAACCTTAAAGAAATGAGGATGATTTACTAACATTACTGGGGGTGGGGAAAATTAGGAATTTAAAAATTTATTGTTTTGATTTTATTATGATTTAATACAAAAGTTTATCAGTTTAAACATAATGTGATTCTACTAACATGTAAATTGAAAAATCACAAGTCAATGTTTAATTAATCAAAGTTGTCTTAAAAGTTTTGAGGGGACAAAAGTAATGGGTATATATGTGCATTATCTTTATACTACTGGAATTGAAGTAGTCTGTGATATTGCAGAAATTAAAATCTTAGCGAAACTTATAAATTACAAAAGCTGTGGAACTTAAGCTGTGGTACCAAGGACAGAATTACTTAAAATTGTTTGAAGATAAGTAATAGGGTAGCCTATTGGATTTACTTTTAAAATATTAAATTTTTTACTCTTGTTGAAAGTATTTTTCTTGATAGTTGTTATTTATTATTGTTATTGTTTGCCTTTTTTCTATCCAGAGAGACCATGATATATTTTGGGATTATGTATGACTAGAAATGACCAACCAGGAATGAGTTTTGATAGCTCTGTTTAGGAAATATACCTTCTTTTCTAGCCTCCTTTTAGAGGATTCTGAAGAAGAAGAAGGTGATTTATGTAGAATTTGTCAGATGGCAGCTGCATCATCCTCTAACTTGCTGATAGAGCCATGCAAGTGCACAGGAAGTTTACAGTATGTCCACCAAGAGTGTATGAAGAAATGGTTACAGGCCAAAATTAACTCTGGTAAGATTTACCTGTTTGTGTATTTTGTTTTCACAGTTTTTTCTAAGAAATGCATGCGTGTATGCATTTCAGTTAACAATTCTGATTATAATTTATTCAAATTTATACTCTTATCAAAAGTGTCAATCATTTTGTGAAGCAAAAGCATTAAAGCATTAGTTTTGCTTCATAAATTTAATGCATAGTAGTGTTATAGTTCATTTCCTGAATAATCTATTTACTTTCATATGTGTATAGTTCAACTGCGATTTGTTATTGCTGGTGACCCTTATGTCATGTAAGATGCCTTTGAATCAAAGAAATACTGTTACTGTTTAGCAGCTATGTGTCCTTGAGAAAGATTTATTTTCTCTAATGTTATTATGCAGCAGTAGGATTACTATAGGGAGTCTTTGTTTATTAAGTGCTGTTACAGAGCCAGGCATCGTTCTGGATACGGGATACAGAGACCAAGTCAGACAAGGCAACTTGCTCCCATGGTGGTGGTATTATGTGTTAAAGGAATGTCTTGTTGAGATGCTGCTGCTGCTGCTAAGTCGTTTCATTTGTGTCCGACACTGTGCGACCCCATAGACGGTAGCCCACCAGGCTCCCCCGTCCCTGGAATTCTCCAGGCAAGAACACTGAAGTGGGTTGCCATTTCCTTCTCCAGTCTTGTTGAGATGAGGGCATTTTAAACTTGAATGAAGAGGAACTAGCTATTTTAGAATGAGAGGAAGAGCATTCCAACACATGGAACAACTAACACAGAGCCTTTAAGGTGGGAATGACTTAGGTGTGTTTGAGGAACTGAATGAAGGCCAAGTGTGGCTGGAGTGTAACTTGTGGGAAAGGACAGGGGTGATAAAGTTTAGATAGAGATGAGCAAAGGCTTGCTCATTTAGGACTTTGAAAGCTAATGTCAGAAGCTTTGATTTTTATAAGTGTTATACGAAGCCACTGAAGGTCAGGGGAGTGAAATGATCTCATTTCTATTTTGGCTGCTCTGTGAAGAGTGGATTTTATTGGGACGAGTAGAAGCAGGGAGCTATTGTGACCAACTAAGAATTTATTGTACTAGAGGTGGTGGTGGTGGTGGTGGTAGAAATAGATGATTCCAGTATGTTTTGGAAGTAGAGTCTATGGGACTTGCAAATGGATTGGATGTGGTGGAGTGAAGAAGAAAGAACGATTAGAGAAGTAACTGTTTTTGCCTTGATCTACTAAGTAAATGGTGGGACCATTTACTAAAATAAAGAAGACTGAGAAAAGAGTGAATTTGGGAAAGGAAACCAAGAGTTCTGTTTTTGAAATAATTGTATATGAACTGTTTATTAGATAATGATATGGAAATGTCAGCTGGGCAGTTAGCAAGACAAGCATGATGTTTCAAGGGTTTCAGTGCTGAAAATTGCAGTTTTGGGAATCATGAGCACATAAATAGTATTTTAAGCTTTGAGAGTAAATGTCACTAGCGCAAGGACAGATATCAAAAAAATGAACCCAAAACAGAGCTCTGAAGCACCCACACATTTAGTGGGACCAGAGAAGATTTGAGGAGCAGCCTCAGTCTGGTACAAAGAAAACTGAGAAAATGTAGTATTGTGCAAGCCAAAAGAAGATGTTCTAGGAGGATGTAATCAACCCTGTCAGGTACCACAAAGAAGTCAGAACAGAGAGATAAGAACAAAGAAATGACAGCTGGAATTTAGCAGCATGGATGCCCTTGGCAGCTTCATTGCTGGCAAAGGGGATGAGGTGAGGTGTCATTGTATTACTAAATTGGGCTAACACTAGGGAAACAGCAACATAGACAGACACCCTCTTACAGTAAACTACTGTCAAGATAATTGGAGATACAGGGTAGAAATTGGAGAGTTTTCTACCATCTGGTCATGGTACATGTTTTAGTTTTTTTGCTTTCAAGGTAGAAAATTTGAGGGCATGTTTTTAACAAGAGATACTGTGAAGAGAAAAATTTATGAAAAGAGAAGAGGATGATGGGATCCAGAGTACAGGTTGAATAGTTTTTAATAGGAAAAGGGTACTTGCTAGTGTAGATATGGATTATTTCTAACCAAAGTGTGTTGCTTTGGTGAGAAGGTGCTTAAATTCCTATATAATTGCCTCTGTTTTCTTAATAAGGGTCTTTAGCTGTTGGAAGGGATGGGTTAAGAAGTTTTCATGTGTGAGGAAAAGAACATTCTAAAATGCTTTCAGGGTTTTCGGATAGTATTAGTGTCCATAAAAATCTGTGGCCATGAATATGATTTAAAAGTGCAATTGGGATACATGTACATTTTTAAGAAGCAATTTTCAGATGCTTGGATACAGACAAGGATTTGAGTTCAGTGGGGTTGAGACCTTTGCCAGGCAAAAAAATGATGAAGGGAGTTAAAGTTGGATTTGGTTGTAGTGAGTCTAGAAATTAGACACGAAAGAGGGAGTAAAGACATTAGGAAGTAGATAGTTAGAAGTCAGATCTGTGTCTTTTGACTCTCATTGACATTGAAGATAATTGCCAGAGTAGGTTAGCTAGAATAGTGAAAAATTGTAGGTATACAGAAGAGATGCTTAACATACAGATTTTAGGAGTAATGCTGTAAAGTGCAATGACAGGGTCAAGGTTAATGACCATAAAGTGGGTGGCTGAGGTGGGGACCGGTAATATTGGAAGCAAGGATGTTGAGGAAGTCAGAATCAATTGTGGTCTTTGCAGATGTGGAAATAACCAAGAAGTAAGTTGTGTGAAGAAGATAGGTGCTAAAGTCATTAATGAATGAGGCTGAACTTTGAGTTTCAAAACAGCAGTAGGTATCGGGGACCTCTATCCATATTTCTTGGTCCTGAGATTCAAATGATTGTTGGGGGGAAATGATTGCAGAAGAATATTTTATCAGTCTGTGAGGCCCTGTGGTTCAGTCTTGAAGTTGAACAGGTGATTCATAAAGGAAATTGGTTAAGAAGAATTTACCTGTGTTTAGCGATGAGTACCAGGAGGACCTGGTGAAATATGACTAGTAGGGTGGGAAATTAGATCATAGTAATAAATGGACATACTTGTGTGGCAATGATGGTCTGATGATGATAGTTGGGTGACAGGCAAATAGGTTGTGAAGTACGATGGTATTAATTTCAGTGTTAATCATCTGTTGGAATTTGAGTAACGTGTTCAAACTGGAGATGATGAGTCTAGCGGAAAACTTTTCTTCCTGCAGCGAGATAGCAAAGGCCTCATTGGGGTAGGGGGTTATCTTTTTTTCTAAACTAACCTGATCCCAAACCTGTAGGATTGGCCAGTCTTACCTGTAGCAGCCTCTTTTTGACCGTGTGGTGCTATGAAAGCCTTGTGGGCTCTATTAGGCACTGCCCTGGGGTGTTATAAGTTTAAATGAATGCTCAGCATGGTTCTTGACACTTAGCAAGGGCCCAGAAATGTTAGCTATTACCAGAATGAAAAACACCTTGACTCACCTTCTATTATATTTGCAATTGGACTGGTTAGTATTGTATAGATAGGAAAACAGATAATACAATATATTATTTAAGAACATTGGCTTTTGAGAGTTAGACATGCTTTAGGTTGGAATAATGACTCCCCAACACTTAACTATAGGATTTTGAGTAAGTCTCTTTGGTTCTCAATTCTGGTTGCTGATCAGAATTACCCATCTATGTTTTAAAAACAGAAATTCCTTAAATCTAACTTCTAAACATTCTTGAATGTTAAGTAGGTCTGGGGCTGGCCCTCAGTTCCATCAAGAATCAAATTGAGGAATAGTGTGTTGTTAAGATCAAATGAGATGATGTTTATGAATAGCTTCTCACAGGATTGGGCTCACAGTAAGTAATTAAATAGGTATTGAGTCATCCAAAACAGAAATTCTATATCTATTAGGCACTAACACCCTTCTCACCCTCTTCCCAAGCCCCTGGTAAATTCTGGTCTCCTTTCTCTCTGAATTTGCTTATTCTACATATTTCACATAAATGAAATCACACAATATTTGGGGGCTTTTTGTATCTTATTATTATCTTATTATCTTTTTATCTTATTATCTGTGTCTTATTTTACTTAGCAGTTGTACCACATATCAGGACTTCATTCATTTTATGGCCGAGGGTAGCTGTTTTTATCTGAAGAAGGGTGGATCCCTTTCTTTCCCTCCTGTGTTATAGGGAAGACACATTTCTTAGACCACAGACAGTCTTAGTGTATGTTATCACATCAAAGATACTGGCCTAGGTCTATGTAACTAGTTGTTTTAGATACCATGTTTTTATGGCATCTGGTCCTATCACTTCATGGCAAATAGATGAGGAAACAATGGAAACAGTGACAGACTATATTTTCTTAGAAGAAAAGTGATGACCAACCTAGACAGCATATTAAAAAGCAGAGACGTTACCAACAAAGATCCATCTAGTCAAAGTTATGGTTTTTCCAGTAGTCATGTATGGATGTGAGAGTTGGACTATAAAGAAATCTGGGTGCCAAAAAATTGATGCTTTTGAACTGTGGTGTTGGAGAAGATTCTTGAGTCCCTTGGATTGCAAGGAGACCCAACCAGTTCATCCTAAAGGAAATCAGTCCTGAATATTCATTGGAAGGACTGATGCTAAAGCTGAAATTCCAGTACTTTGGGCACCTGATGCAAAGAACTGACTCCTTGAGAAAGACCCTGATGCTGGGAAAGATTGAGAGCAGGAAAAGAAGGGGACGACAGAGGATGAAATGGTTGGATGGCATCACCAACTCAACGCACATGAGTTTGAGCAAGTTACAGGAGTTGGTGATGGACAGGGAAGCCTGGCGTGCTGCAGTCCATAGGGTCTCAAAGAGTCAGACACGACTGAGTGAGTGAACTGAATTCAACCTTTATGGCATCTTATCAGAGTCCTTAAAGAGGAAGTAGGAAGTACAGATAATATTCCATTGTCAGCGTCCCACATCAAAATATATGAGTATCTGGGATGGGAAAATAAACACAAGGTGGAGGCTTAGGTTCCACAAGAATAGGACATGCACATCAGGTGTTACTAATTGCTATTTTAAGAGACGTTACTGGTTTATGATGGTAGTACAGTCTCCCTGCTATCTCTTCCTTCCTTCCTTTTAGTTTTCTATATTCTAAGCTTAAAACCCACAAGGAAAAATGTTTTGTGGAGACATAGCAAAATTAAGCTTTACTTGTGATTTTTTTTTTTTACCAGGTTCTTCACTAGAGGCTGTAACCACCTGTGAACTCTGTAAAGAGAAGTTGCAGCTTAACCTGGAGGATTTTGATATTCATGAACTACATAGAGCTCGTGCAAATGAACAAGTTAGTATATTTTGCCTAATTTGGTAAGTGTCTATTCTGTGCTTAAAGGACAACTCTTGAAGAAAAGATTAAATCATGATCTGAAAACCTACATTAAAATAGTAACGTAATTTTCTTTTACTGCATTAAGTATTTTTCTTTACTTTCCTATAACTTTTGAAAATGAAGGGCAAAAAAAGCAAATCACAGGTTTTAAATTATTAAGGTAAAATGTATTATATGTTTCCTAAATAAACTGAAAATAAAGGCTTAGGAAAGTGGTCCCCAAATAGGCATCCTAATCTTAACTCCCCAGAGCTGTCTCAGTTGTGAATGCCTCAGTCCTGGAACCTGATTGAAACACCTAGCCCTGGATCTACATCCTGTTTCTTTTTTTAATGTTAGAAGTAGTTTTTTATGTGCCTGTCTGTCTGCCCTCCCCCCACCCCCCCATGTTCTGCTCTCCTAGTTCCCTCCACTGTCCTTATTGCTACCTGCAACTCTATATTGAATACTTATGAATCTTATGAAATCTTTTATTCCAAGTTCACATCATTTATAAACCTCTTTCTTTTAGTATGTCATTTTAGTCTATTTATATAATGAATAATCTCCAATCTTATTTAAAACTTTTTCAGATATTCTCATTTCTCAGATTTTTTTGATGTGTATTGATAACTATTCTGAGAATTGACTTGGTCACTAATTTTTATTTTTGGGAGCTTTTAACTTTTAAAAAATTTTGATACGTTTAGGGAGAATGAAGAGCTCAGTATTTCCTCCCTTTCTCTCTGCCAAAGGAAAATTCTAGGGGCAAAAAGATGTTCAGGGAGATTACTGGGTTGACTCAAGAGCCATACTATCCAAGTATGCTTAGCATATTCATTATAAAAAGAGATATGATGGTGGTAGAATGCATAAATGCTTGAAAAACACTTTTTAAATAAACGAGTAATGGACACCCCCTTTTTTTGATTGAGGTAAATTTCACATAAACATAAAAATCATAAGTGGAATCAAGCAACATAATCCTCTATGGATACCCTTTACTGTTAAAATGTAGGGATAATGAATACCCTTTGTAAAATCTGATTAAGACCACACTCAATAAAATATACAGATTCACAAAATTCGTATATGAGTTAAAGGATTTTCAGATCCTTTGAAGCAGATTACTTCAATCCAGGTTAAGAGTCAATTAATGCAACTCTGGGTAATTGATGTAGCACAGATGCTACTTATGCTAGTTTATTTTATTCTTTAATGAGCCAGTTGTCCAAGGAAAATACTGTTTTCAGCAAGGAATTGTCTTAAATCCCCAAGGAGTCTCTCTGGATAGCTGAGCATTGGTATTTTAAAGAACACAGGAAAGAGTAGGTAAAGGTAGAATGATGGAAAGAAATTTTTTTTTAATCTTCTCAAAATGAGAGTAGGTTTCAAAGGATGGTTTTCTCCTGCTGTCCTTCCTTCTCTAGGTGCTCCATCATGTCTCTGAAAGCTCTTTCTTTGGCATTTCATTTCAACCAGGAATTTTTTCATGGTTCTCCAAGGATTGAATGGCCCACAATCTTAAATAATTTATAAGTGTGAGAAAATGTTAGGTGGAGTACAAAACAATGACAGTCTTGATTAAGCTTCCTGACTTTTAGCTTCTTTGTTGTGTGTAAATCTTGGATTCTGGGGGCCTAAGAACTATCATTTTAAATAACTAGTTTAATACAGTTTTATTTCCTCATCCAGTGGCTTCATTTTTTTCAAGGTGATAAATATTCAAATTAAAAAAAAAATCTGGACATAAATTTCCTTTTAAGTAAAAAATAAAAGTAAGAAGTGATGGATGTAAAGACAGTTTTTAAAATCAGTTTCAGATTTTTCGAATCCTCTGTGGAATATGAGAACAGGTAGTTGCTGAAGTTGGTAACTAAGAACGTATAGCTCTTAACATCAGATGAGTTAATTACCAAAAATAGTACAATTTAGATTGCTGTATAAAAATTACAGGATAGTTTAGATTTTTAATAACACTATATTCATGACTTGTATTGTTAGCTTCAGAACAATAATTTTGAACCAAAGGACAGTTTTTACCCACTAAAAATTTCTGTGTGAATCATCCAAGGAACAGTTACTCTGTTACCTTTAATTTTATATTTACTGTTGCCTTAAAGTTAATTATATTATGTAATAAGTGTTTGACTGATTTGAATAGGTTTTATTTGCATATATTGATACATAGCTATACATGAAATGGTAATTTTTAGGTAAACATTTACAGCCTATTTGTATTAATAAAATCTGTTAGGTGCTTTATAGAACCAGATCATTCATTCTGCCCTCAAATGAGTTAAAAGCCCCACTTTCATATATAAGTCATTACATAACAGAAGACTCTGAATTAAATAAAGAGGATATTCATACACCTATTTGTATCACTTACAACATTAGTACAATTATGATATTATGGAGGCTATTTCTTGATTTAATAGATGGTGCTATATCTCTTAAGAACTGGATATGAATACATTTCCTCTAGTTTATCAGTATATGAATGTCGATCTCTTGTCTATTAATTTTTCATTCTCCATATATCTTCTTTTTCTCATTTGCTTCCCTCTTGAAGGCTGAGTATGAGTTTATCAGCTCTGGTCTCTACCTAGTTGTGTTATTGCACTTGTGCGAACAAAGCTTTTCTGATATGATGGGAAATACGAATGAACCAAGCACACGTGTCCGAGTAAGTAACCTTGGAGCAGGGGGGACGGGAGGACGTGATGCACCATTGTTTGCATTGGAAGGTAGATTGTTTTATATGTTTACACACTATTTCCTTTGGGAAGTTCCTATATTAAAGGCTTTTTAAAAAATAAAGGTATTTTAGTTTTAATAGAAATTACTGTCTTTATCAAGAAGCATAATTTTTTTCATAAAGCTATTTTAAAAAAGAAGAAATTTTCTAGCTCTTTAAGTTAATTGGAATATATGTCAGTGAGAAACAGGGACTTGGAAGTACAAAGGAAAATGCTCTTTTTAATTTAAAAACAAAACTCAGTGTTATAACTTAGAAACCTGATACTGAACTCCAAAAACTGAAAGAGTATGGGAAATTAACTTCATTTTATTCGTTACTATCCTGTAAAAGATTACCACTCTAGTAGCTTTTTTTTTTTTTTTTCACCCTAGTAGTTTTTAAGCATCTGTATTTCAAACTACTTACAATTTGGACTATTTGGTGTTTACTCTGTACACTATTGCCTTAGTTTAACACGTGAGAAAGTTGTTTGTTAGGTATTTTTAATTAAATGGTACTGTTATGGAAATTTATACTCTACTGCCTTGCCATTTTATGTAGCAGGGACTAGAGTCTACATCTCATTACAGTAGCATTCTGAACACCTGATTCTTGAAATGTCTTCATAAATATATCCTTCAAACAGTTTTTTTATATAAATGTTCTCTTGGTGATAAAAATTTAGTAGAGTTTATGGTGAGGTATAACGTTTCTGTTATATTTTGAAAATTATCAGATAACAAATTCAGTGTATATGGATAGAACATTTTTTTATAATCATGTAAACATTATTCCTACTAGCCAATTGTTAATTTTTATCATGTAGAGAAAAGAGAAGGAACTCTCAAAAGCTTTCAGAATTTGAGCAAAGATCTCTTGATTTCTAGAAAGGCAACTTTGTCTCTTCACAATTAATGAACCATATAAATTAATATCTGTTGAATTCATGCCTTTGTAAAAGGTATATACATTTAAAGTACAGAATCATATGTCATATTTCTAGGCAGGAAAATAATTGATTTATACTTTTAATTGACCACTAACAATCATTTGATTCCAAATTGAAAAGGATTAATTTTCTCCATAGTTTTTGGAAGTGTTATATTTATGCAAGAACACAATGGTATTCATTGAATAAGATTATTGTTATCTGCTCCCAGTTTCTACATGATTAATACATGATTTCTGCATAACTGATAATGATATATAAGATGTTTTAAAAAGTCATATCATTAAAAGCTTGTAATTTTTGATGTAGGGGATGAAAGACCCCCCTATTTAAAGGCTTAAAATTATGTTTGATTTTTAAGTAGAAATGAATCTCTTATACTGATTCTCTCTAGATACATTTGCTACATTTAAACTACCATATTTCTCTCTGCATTGTTTCTAGTTTATTAACCTTGCAAGAACTCTTCAGGCACATATGGAAGATCTCGAAAGTAGGTGGAATTTCCCCTCCCCAGACTTGTTGCATTTACTTTTGCAAATTAAACCCATAGAGCAAAACCCAAGTATATATACTCTTTCTACCAAATTAGAGCTTCATTTATAGGCTTAATAATACCAGAATAATTGATTTGGGAAAGATGGGTTGGGCAACTGACATTAGTTTAATAGCGTATGTTTTAAATTGCATTAATTTTATTGTATGAAAGGATATTATTTTAACCATCAGTATTTTGCTTTTATTTAAAATAAAAATACATATTTAATCACCTTAATTTTAACACTTCTAATGTTAACACTTTTTTAAAAAGACATGTTTAACTACTAATCAAAACACACTTAATTGGTCAGATTTTTTGTGTATGAAATTTTGTTATTTAGCTTTGTTAGATCATAAAAGGTGTTCTCTGGGTTTATATACAGTTCCAGGAAAATAGGAGTGAAAGAGTCCTAATTCTGAGTCCCTAACAGAAGCCATAGTTTTTTCGTTGTTTTTTTTGTTTTGTTTTGTTTTTTGCTCCTTGTTCAGGTCCTCATGGACCTTTAATAGGCAGCCAGCTACGCCAGCAGCTCCAATCTCTTAAGATCACGTTCCAGCTTTAGGACTTCTGCCTGGGCTCCTTTGTGAAGGCACTTAATGCCCAAATCTTTACAGGCATCTGCACAGCCTACCCTCTTCTCAAAGTCCTACAATCTCCAGGGTGCTTCATACCAGGTGGGCACAGATATTGGTGGCTCTGGAACAGTTCTTGGGAATCCAAGATTACCCTACTTAGCTATTGCGCTTTTTTACTCAAAGCATTTGGCACTCACCATGATCAGATTCCAGTACACTTTTTGAAGTGTTTTAAATATGCTTTCTCCAGTTGATTATCTTCTATACTCACCTTTAAAATACATGGACTATTATATGTAGTCCGTGTAATGTTTTACCTTTAGACAACATGTAGCATCCTTTGAAGTAAGGTTTCAGAAGGACCTAATCCTCCTTTTTTTAATTCCTTGAATATTCTTAGGCATGGGTTTTTGTCATTGAGTTTGTACAATTTCAAGTTTTGAAAGGATTTAGAGCTGCAGTTAGGTGATACAGTTTCACAATTTTGGTTAGTATGTGTGGAAATAGTATGTAAAGGAATCAAAATGGTATAATAAAGTGGGACTTCATTGAGTGTAAATCTTTTTTTCCTTCATACCGTCTTAGTTCAGGTCCATCATATTGGCTAATACAAAGATCTCTCTCTTTTTTGTAAGTTATAATTTATATTTTGTCAAATGTGATGAGAGTAATCTATTGCAGTGTACATTTACCCCTGATTGCTGTTTATTTTTTTTTTACTAATGTTCCTATTTAGAATTTAGTTTTTTAAGCATGTGAATGAGAGGGAAAAGATGGAGTTGAAATATGTATATCCAAACTCAGGGTGAAAGATGTTGTGGATGTTACTAGTTGACTTCTAAATACCAGAGTACTAATATATTCTGAAAACTGGTTTTCACTGAATTTTCTTCTGTAGAGTTAATCCAGTAGAAAACAAGTTCTCTGAAAAACTATTTTATTTTTTAGTTTGACATTTCTCCATGATATATATAAAACTTAAGTGTAGGATTTTACTCCTCATGAGCTAATTAAGTATATGCTTGGTAACATTTATTTAAAATGAATTTAAAATTTCTGCAAGGTAAATATATGGAGACTTAAGTTTCATCTATACATGTTGCGTGATTTTTTTCTTGTTGATTGCATTTGCTGAGTGCTCTTAAACTGTCCAGTATTAAATACAAGAAGAGTGTACATTTATCTTTTCTGCTCTTGATAATAGGGGAAATGCTGGTTAGATGTTTAGTGTATTTCCATTTTCTTTCACATGCAGTTTATACAGTCTTACAGTTACTATCTCCTAAGACATTCAAGAATGTTTTCTATTAAACTCTTGAGCTACTAATGACTCTAAAATAAATTGAGGTCAGAACTGTTGCAAGAGTGATGAGTCTTTGACAACATGGAGACATAGAAATACTCTCAACAAAAGGTTTCTACTAAATTCAATTATTTTAACTTAGGCTGTATCTATATAAAGCTTTTTTGACTAAATAGAACTTTCTTGGCATTGTATAGACATAGCTCTGGTGTAAATTTCAAGAACACCCATAACCTATTATTCTATTTCTATGTACATTTTTTTTTTCATTCTCATCGGATACATCAAACATGCAGCGGTAATAAGCCAGATTCTCCTCAGGTGTGTGAGAGCACTTGCCTAAAGTTTACTCTTTGCCTAAGATACTCTTTGTATCATTAGCTGTTACGGACACAAACTGATCTCAGGAACTTTTTAGATGTTCTTGAACCACATTTTAAAACATTTTCATTTTAATAAAAACTAACATAACAAAAAGTTGTGGGGGTGGGGGCCTTGTGGCTTGGCGTCACCTACAAACTAGCTTCATGCAGTCATCATAATTTATCATTTTGACCAAACAGTATATAATAAATTGGGATTTTTGCTTTATAAATCATTGCTGTTCTGGCTTCATACTTAACACTTCCATTCTCATCCCCCTTAAAATCATTCTTGATCATCCTGTTTTCTTTCAACAGCTTCAGAAGATGATTCAGAAGAAGATGGAGACCATAACAGAACATTTGATATCGCCTAACTTCATATAAGACAAATGGATGATCTGTGAACAAGTGTTATTTAAAACTGGCAATTAAGTATGAGTTAATTTTGTGGGGAAATGTCTGTTGAATATATTATCTCTATAGAATGAATATATATATATTCATATATACACATGCATGTATATATATGTTCATTCTCAGGTGTTACTGAATTAAAATTCTGCTGGACCTTTAACATGGCCAGTGAATCTAATGTTTATAAACTGGTAATTAAAAGTAAAAGTATTTTTCTTTTAATGAGTGGGGAAAGTGTTACCCTTGTTTTAAATAAGCAATGTTGACAACCCTTTTTTGTGTTCTGATTAGTGTAGTTATATTTATGAAGAAAGGTTGGTGTTTTGGTCTCTTGTTAGTGGTAAAAGTGGGACAAAATAGGCTTTCAAAATAAATTGCCAGATGGCACCTAATTATTTTTATTTTTAAATGCCTTAAGTTGCAGTCTCAGTTTTATAATCATTTGCTTCCAGTGTTTAAAAAAAATGGGGAGAAAGTTAAGAGCATTATATTAGGTTTCCAAATTTAATTTGAATTCTAAATTCACTTAGCAGTAAAATTAATTTTCTAAAAAAGTATATTAAAAATAAAGTGTACAAATGATGGATAAATTTTTGTATTGATTTGGAAAATGCAGATGATATTTGATAGACCATAGTATGTAGTATGTAGATATTCCTCTTAGGAATATTGCAGCTGTAAATTACATCAGAATTGCTAGCCAAATGCTGTTTGGTTTAAAAAAAATTATTGCAATCTCAAGTTAATGAGATACTTTTAAGGCCCACATTTAGAGTTTAAAACACTGGTTTTCAATGTGTTTTTTAGTGTTGTCACTTCTTTATAGATAAATATGATATAAATAACCTGTTTGGATCCTGGCTGTTTTTAACTGTTCCTTGGTAATTATAAACATTTATTTGATGACTTACTATTTTTCACTACCTTTAGAGAAGAGATGAACATTTACCTATTCACCATGACTAGATTTACACTGTGGTCCTGAGTTGTGTATACATCCATAACACTGTATATTTTCTTCATCAGCACCCTTAAGATACACTTTTAAATGCCTTCAGGTGGTTTCAGGTTAAATAAAGTCTGTCAGACTACTTTTTCAGAATCTAAATAGAAACTATGTAATTTCCCAAATGTGAATCAACAGTTTGCTCATTTTCAGTCAGACTGTTGGTCTTAATGTAAAACTTTGGCTTGAAATAAAGTGCATACTGATTTACTTTATAGTTTGAAATGTTTCCTTTTAAACTGGTGCTCAAAGAAGCCTTCAAATGTTATAGCCAAGAATCTTACAGTTTCAAATTCCATTTTATATGAAAATAACTGTTTCTAAAACATTTGCTCAACTTCTGCCTGTTATCTTTGCATTACCTTCCTTAAAGCAGGTATGCAAAATTTAAGGATGCCAGTATCATTATCTATACTACAGGTCTTTGCTTTGAATTCAAAACATTTATGCTTTTAATAGAACTCAGTATGAAAATGTAATGTCTTCTTAACCTACAAATTTTTTTATTTAAAAATTTTAAGTAAATGGTAGAATACATTCCATTGGTATGCATACAGTTTATTTATAGTTTTGCTAAATTAACTGCTAAATGAGATACACAGTGTCTTGCTGCTGCTGCTGAGTCACTTCAGTCATGTCCAACTCTGACCCCAGTGACTTGAGCTTTATAGTATCCTTATAGTTCGTTAGTACTACTTAGTATTTCAATATTATATAAGCTTCTAATAACCTGTAAATGTGAATTAGAGGGAATAAGAAAAATCTTTCATTGGTTATCATTTTTTAGATTCTGAACAAAATAGAGACCATACAATATTCAAATTCCTAAGAATTTAAGAATACAAATTTCTAATAAAATGTTAAAAGAAAATGGCAGCTAAAAGAAACGATGGTAACAACAGCTACCAAAGCTAAGAATTACATTGTCATTATTAGATGGCATTAAGATGTTTGAAGAAAAGCAGTTTATACATTCTTAGTGTAAACAGGCATGCTTATGTTATTCCTGTTATTAAAAATAAATACAGACTTGAATTATCCAGTTATCTATTGAACAATGAATAGACACAAAGGCCTGTTACAGATGTTCAAATATATAAAGGAAATTAAGATTTAGCACTGCATTACCAGGGCCTTTTAAGGACTTGTTTGAAATCAAACATGAAAAATCAAATCACTTAGAACAACCATTTTGGTAGAGCTGTCATTAGGTAGAAGTTATTGAAATGAACTGAAGAAATTATTAGTTATATAGAAATGGAATGGGAGACTGGAACATCATTTTTCAGTGAAACTTTCTATCATAATGGAAATATTGCCAAATATGGTAGCTACTAACTGCATGTGATCTGAGCATTTGAAATATGGCTAGTGTTAATTGAGGAAGTGAACTTTAAATTGCCACATGTGGCCGATGGCTACTGAAATACATATTGTAAAGATTTGTGATAGAAAGTTTTAAGAACAAAAAGTTAGTCTTAATTCTTAAAGGATTGGTAGAATTTTAGTTAGAAAAGCAGGAAGGAATTCGTCTAATGTTCATGATTAATAGCCCTGTTAATAAAATAGACATCTCAGTCAATAACACAAAATCTCAATCTTACAAAACATAATTGTGTAGTAACACCTAGTATAAAATCTGTTCTTTAGTATGACAGTCAAATATGTTATCATCACTTTGTAGTTACTCACATCTTGTTTAAAAAAAACTGCCATTAATTGTGATGAGGAATGATTCTGCTTCATGGTGGCCAGTGGAAACAGGTGTCACAAGCTATGACTTTGTTGCCACTGGTCAAGCTTGAGAGAGTGTCTCTACATATGAAAAGTATTCCCATAAAATGATTGATGGGATATGCATTAAGGAGAATTTACTTTCTTGCACTTTCAAGTTTCTTCATATAGTAAATACAATTTTGTTAAGTACATACCTTATCTTTTCTCATAATGTTAAGTTATAAAAGTTGCTAAAGAAAGCATTCTTGTTTCAGTTTTACTGCATTTTCATTTTTTACCACCAAATGATTGTCTTAAAATGTACAGTATACATACTGGAAACTTGAACATCATCACTACAGTAGTATGTAGTTCTTCAGTTTAGTTATTGCTTACACAGTTTTCATGTCATTGAAATACTTCATTGAGGCTTGGGGAGCATGAGATACATAGGAACAGATATGGTAGGATATGGCAGCAGGAGAAAAATCCTTAAAGGGCTCTACACATTACCCATATGTCAGCCTCCTCCACACCTTCCTGGTATGGTATGGCTGTAATTTTTGCTTCACAAAATCTTACTGAGATCCTGACCATTTATGATCAGTGCTAAATAATGTTAATGCTGTGGTGCAAAACAGTATTCTAAAAAGTATTAAAATTATATAATTATATGGCATATGGGATGTTAAAATCTGTAAAATTTTCTGCATCTAATACATTTAAATCCTAAAGGGAGATAGATATATTAAAGGAATTAACCAGTAACCAGCATAAGTGATAGCTAAATGAGAATCTTTTAAGGGTAGGTGTATTCTCCATATCTTATTGGTAAAGGAGCGAGACAATAGAAATTGCTAAAGATCTAGTGACTGCTAAAACTAGTGGTGAGTAGAATTTTTTTTCAACTAAGGTGGTTCAACTCAGTGGGAGGAAGATAGAGGAGGTAAGACAAGTATACTGGATTTTTATTTTTACCTGCTTTCCTTAAGTCAAGTGAAAGATGCACTTGCTAAGTCACTTCAGTTGTGTCTGACCCTGTGTGACCCCATAGGCGGCTCCCCCATCCCTGGGATTCTCAAGGCAAGAACACTGGAGTGGGTTGCCATTTCCTTCTCCAATGTGTGAAAGTGAAGTTGCTCAGTCATGTCCGACTGGTAGCGACCCAATGGACTGCAGCCTACCAGGCTCCTCCATCCATGGGTTTTTCCAGGCAAGGGTACTGGAGTGGGGTGCCATTGCCTTCTCCGAAAGATGCACTTGGGAGGTGATTAAAACCATTAACTTATATACAAGGTTGTTACTCCTTTTGTTTTTATAATGATCCTAAAGATAAATTTTGTCATGATCAGTGATTGCATAAAAGTAATGAATGTTACTGGAATAAAATAACATATCATAAAAATTAATTTTCATTGTCAGGTTTTATATTGAAATCTTGCAGAGGAAAGGTATTTGATGTCTTAATCTGACATTTCCAAAATCTTAGTTAAATTGAATATCATATTCATTTTCCTCTGCAACTACTAAAACACAGTCATCATTATAAGGTGATTGGTGTGCTGTTGAAAAAACTGTGGTGAAACCAGAATCCAAACTTCTTTTGTACAAGAACCAAACAACTGCTCCCAAAACTGTCAAAATTACTGTGCTAGCAATCACCAAAGCTGATATTAAAATGCGGTTATCTGAAAAAGAAAAAATATGGGAAATCAGGATATACAAGTTGCTAGTATTGATTTGGGGGGAGCATAAATATAGTTTCATCATTTAAATATTTACCTATTTTTGAGAATTTTTCACATTGGTTAGAAAAACAATGTTTATTACTATCAAGATTTATATTTCTTAGCTTGAATAACTTCTATACTTCAAAATTTGAAGTAGACTTTGCAGGTCTCCACTCTTAAGACTCTGAGATAGAAATTATCCACACTAAGTTTCCCTGTGTGTTTCAATTTGCATATATCCTTTTATGTTCTCCAAACTATATATGTATATAGTTTAAAATTTGTATTTCTACAGGGTATGTAATGAAAATACCATACTACTCCTCCCTATTACTATTACCCTTAATTACCATTCCTCAAAGCAACTACTCCTGTTACTTGCCTCCATGTTTCTAAATAACATGCTTACACTCCTCTTTGATTTAAAACTTTTTAAAAGTTGTGGTAAAGTATGCAAAACAAAATTTACCATCTTAGCCATTTTGAAGTGTACAGTTCAGTAGCATTAAGTACATTCACAGTGTTGTGCTATGTCCACCACCATGCATCCACAGAACTTCATCTTGCAAACCAAAACATTAACTCCCCATTCCCCACTCTCCCTAGCCCTTGGCAACTGCCGTTCTACCTTCTGTCTCTGAAGTTGACTACTCTGGGTATTTAATATAATTAGAGTTATACAGTGTCCTTTTGTGACTGGCCTTATTTCACTTAGCTCCTCCAGGTTCATACATGTTGTAGAGTTGCCTTTTTAAGCCTGAATAGTATTCCATACCATGTTTTGCTTACTCAGATCTGTTGATGAACACTTGATTTGGTTCCACATTTCCTGGCTACTGAGATTAATGCTGCTATAAACATGGTTGTTTAAATATCTGTTCAAGTCCCTGCTATCACATCTTCTGGGGACATAACAGAAATGGATTGCTGGATCATACGATAATTTAATGGGAAGCTTTTGTTCTGTTTCACAGCAGATAACCAGTTTACATTCTCAGTACACAAAGGACCCGTATTCTTATGGAAATGTTATTTTCTGTTTTTTTTCTTAGTTTTGTTTTTTATAGCCAAGTTAATGAATGTGATGTTTTGTTAGATTTTTTAAAATATATATTCCTCTTATAGAAGAGTAAGAATGTTAACTTTTCCTACATTCTCCTGAACCCATAAACACTCCTCTCTTCTGTCATAGCAAGCCCCAAACTGACAGAAAGTGTTCATGATACTAAGGGAACAGTAAGTACAAAAGATCTGAATAGGCATTTTGGGGGTGGGGGGGGAAGATAACTGAATGGCTAATGTGTAAAAGTGCTCAACATCATTTTTCATCAGGAAAATTAACACTATACACCCATATGTGTGGCTAAAACTAGATATTAATAGGTTGATAAAACCCTCATGGGGTGGATGTAGAGCAAATGGAACTTGAATACACTGTCAGCAGGAATGTAACATGGTTCAACCACTCTGAAAAATTTGATTAGTTCTAAGAATGATGGACCTTATTAGCTATCCTATGGCCCTGCAATTTCACTCTCAAGGAAAACAAGAGCATCGGTCCAAAAAAAAAAAAGTATGAGAATGTTCATAGCACTGCCACATTCATACCAGACTGATAATGATCAAATATCAACAAACAGACCAATTATGATATGTCTCTAAAATACTGTGCAACACTGATGAGTCAAAAATAATACTCTGGCTGAAAGAAATCGAGTTAATTTACGTGAAGTTCCCAAGAACAAATTACCCTATGTGATAGAAATCCATTGTGGCTACCTGTGGGGTGGATGGCAGTAGCGTGTACATTTATTGGGAGGGTCACCAGGGAATTCTGTGGTGTGACGAAAGTGTTCTTTGAGTGTTGGTTACACAGGTATAAACGTAAGTGAGCATTTAGGTGTATATTTAAACATTTTGCCCTATGTTTATACTTCAAAAATATGGAGGTTAAAAACTATGCAATTTGCAGACATCCAAAAATTTCATACATTGTTTGGGGGGGGACACAAAATAGTACAATTTCTCTGAAACACCATCAGTTTTGATCAAGGTTATACATGTTCAATACAGTAGTTATATTTCAGGAAATCAAAGATAAACATGTTTTTGCAAGGTTATTCATTCCTTGCAGCACTGTTACAATAGCATACACAGAAATAACTCAGTTGGGGTCTGGAGCTGATAAATATCCATAAATGAAAAAGTATACAGTGGTTAAATGAAGATTTATCTATAGGTAATGATATGGAGAGAGAGCTAGACCATGTTAGTAAATAGAAAAGTCATATATCTTAATTTGTTTGTATTGGCAAACACTGGACATTTAAAGACAAAACTGAAATAGTGCCCAATAAGGGTACAGGTAAAACAGGATGGATGGAGACAAAGTGGGAGACAGATTTTTCAATTTGCGTTTTATAGTTGTGCTTTTTGAACCATGTAAGTATGTTAACTGTTCCTTTCCCAAAAATGCATTTAGTGAGACAGATGGTTCATAAGTTGTAATTAGAACTATAAGAAAAAAATTTTTTAACAAAAGATTCAGCCATTTCCCACAAAAACAGATAATGGAGTTCAATGAAGAGATGTTATTTGTTGTTTTAAAAAATGTTCATACATACCTTGCAGATACATTTAAAAAGTCTTATTATGAAGCTAAGAGAACTTTCTACCTTCCTATAGAAGTTCTACTTTACATTGTTATGTAGTTAATATTTAAAGAGGTCTTTAATACTATTCAGTACTTTAATATGCTAGAATCTTAATGTATTCTTACATGTGGGGGAAATTTGACAAAAGACCATACTTACCTGATAAATATTTCTTTTCATATGGGACTGGAATACAAAAGGAAATCATCATTAATTTAAATATGCCTTATTCTAAGATTGATTTTAAATACTCTCAAAGTAGTTTAAAACAAACCTTTTACTAGCTTAGAATTAATATTCTTTATATTGTTTGGTCATGTGTCTGTATTCTGTTTTGAACTTAGTTTTTAAAAAAAAAGATTGTAGAGGACTAAAAATTCATTAGCTCAAAAAGTGGAAAAAGAATAAGGAAACTCAAAAGGACAATGTGATGAAGTGAGGGAAACAAGATGACTTGGGTTGGAAAGTGTGGGAACATAATAAAAGTAAAGAAGACAACTGTGACCTTACCTCATACAGGTTTGCTCACTATGATGTTTTGAAGTTATAGTTTATTTAAAACTTTAGCTTATATAATGAAATGCTGGGCTGGATAAAGCACAAGCTGGAATCAAGATTACTGTAAGAAATACCAATAACCTCAGATATGCAGATGACACCACTCTTAGGGCAGAAAGTGAAGAAGAACTAAAGAGCCTCTTGATGAAAGTGAAAGAGAAGAGTGAAAAAGTTGGCTTAAAGCTCAACATTCAGAAAACTTAAGATATGGCATCTGGTCCCATCACTTCATGGCAAATAGATGGGGAGACAATGACAGACTATTTTGGGGGGCTCCAAAATCACTGCAGATGGTGATTGCAGCCATGAAATTAAAAGATGCTTACTCCTTGGAAGGAAAGTTATGACCAACCTAGACAGCACACTAAAAAGCAGAAACATTACTTTGCCAACAAAGGTCCATCTAGTCAAAGCTATGGTTTTTCCAGTGGTCATGTCTGGATGTGAGAGTTGGACTATAAAGAAAGCTGAGCGCCGAAGAATTGATGCTTATGAATTGTGTTGGAGAAGACTCAAGAGTCCCTTGGACTGCAAGGAGGTCCAACCAGTCCCTCCTAAAGGAGATCAGTCCTAGGTGTTCATTGGAAGGACTGATGCTGAAGCTGAAACTCCAGTTCTTTGGCCACTTGATGCGAAGAACTGACTCATTTGAAAAGACCCTGATGCTGGGAAAGATTGAGGGTGGGAGGAGAAGGGGACGACAGAGGATGAGATGGTTGTATGGCATCACCGACTCAATGGACATGGGTTTGGTTGGACTCCTGGAGTTGGTGATGGACAGGGAGGCCTGGCGTGCTGCGGTTCATGGCGTCTCAAAGAGTTGGACACAGCTGAGCGACTGAACTGAACTGACCTGAGGCACAGTATGTGAAAAGATTACCAACATTTTAAAAATCCAACAAACACTGGAAGTTGAATACTATGACCATAAAAGTGTGACTGATTAGTCAAAATACCTGCTGAGGCAAGTTAAAATTGTATGTGATTCCAGATGTAAAGAAGTAATCAGAGGCAGATGTATAGTTTTGGTTTGCAGTTCCAGTAGAAGGGGGGAATGTTAAGGATGCAATATTAAGGATGCAACGTGGGGAAATGGCTGTTTCTGTCTTGCTTCAAGCATCCTAAAATCATGTTTTGAAATTTAAATGCCTTTAATGAGAAAATAATTCTTTATAAAACATAAAAGAACAAATCTAATGTTTAACAATAATATGAAAATATTGTGGGACAGGATAATTCTGTTCATTAGAAAGCATTGTGATGCATAAGAAGAAAACATATTTTAGTCCAGAATTATAAACTATGGTATAATTTATCTTTGCCTAATCAAGGATGTCCTTGTACTGAATCAAATTCTTTGTAAACTAACTAGAATTTTGGAATTAACCATTATTCTTCACCACTTCCACTTTTTAATCAAATCACATCAAAGAAGCTATGATAATTCCTTTGAACAGCATAAGAAAATTTTGACTTCTTACTAGCTCTAAGAATAAGCAGAGAGAATAAAAGTATGCCTGATTCATATGATCTGGTCCTACTTCTAATGTAATAGGATTACATATTTGCCTTCCTAGAGTCTTGGGTACAAACCAACCTCATTGTCTTCTGAAATCTTACTTCCTCTTGTTTATTGAGGCACACAACTCAAAGTTATTTAAAAACCAGCCCTGCCTTCCCCACCCTTCTTAGAATGGAAAAAGGCCTTCAGTTATACTTACTAGCTGCTTTACAAAGGGTTCCTTCCACAGAAGAAACTTCACAATTTCCTTTTTTCCAATCACCTGTCTTGGTGTGCAAAAAGGCACAGGTGTCAACTAGCTCCTCGCCATCTTCTTGGTCTGACCATTTAACAAATGTCATATTTGATTTATCAAACCACTTGAAACTGGCATCTGTCAGTTAAGGAATATTTTAACATTATGACAGTATAAAATGTGTTAAAAGGGTCTAGCTTTATTTTTGATTATGGCTTGTGGGATCTCCATTCCCTGACCAGGGGACTGAACCCAGGCCCTCAGCATTGAAAGAGTGGAATTTCTTGGGTCTAGATTTAAAGGTGGGAAGTTACTAAGGTATGTCTGATCTAAACTTTTGATTGTGGGACTTAAATTAGAAGCAAGAATATATCCTATACACAGATAAGAGGTACTAGTTCAAGAAGGTTCTAAAGAAGATCCCATTTTTTATTAAACATATATAATTTTCATGGAGAAATAATTGGTAAAATATTAATGGTAACCTTAGTAATTGCATTTGATTTTGAAAATAGTTATATATGTACTTTTTATTTTCAATAGTGACAATAAACACATTTCTACATTTCTATAATATTACCTTGATAGTTTTCTATTGTTGATACTACTACCAATATTTATTACGCTACCATATGACAAAAATACTGAGTCTAGAATCATATTTTAATCCAGATGAAAGACTCAACTTTAGCTCTCATGTGGGACACACTGAGCCGTTCAGTGAAAAGCTGTGAACATGAGTGCATCCTGAAAATACAGCGCCTGAAGCTGCAGGATGTATCAACTTGAACTAGGGAAATGAAGCAGCTAAAAGTTATTACTAACATTAAGAAAGAACGTAAGTGTAAATATCACTTACCATCTGTGTCAAAAAACATGCCTAATAAGATATCAGCTGGGTCTTTCCATTGATTTTTCAAAGTATCCAGTATAAAAGCATTTTCTTCTTCATTATGTATGCTTATCATGTCTGCTCCTGAAATTATTTTAGGGAGAGGAAGTCAGCATGTTCTACAAAGCAATGAAAATCACATGAAGCTTATACACATTATACATTACTACACTACATATATTTTTGTTGTCCTTTGGTCACTAAGTCGTGCCCAACCTTTTGCAAGCCCATGGATTAGCCTGCCAGGCTTCTCTGTCCATGGAATTTTTGAGGCAAGAATACTGGAGTGAGTTGCCATTTCCTTCTCCAAGGGATATTCTCAACCCAGGGATTGAACCCACATCTCCTGTCTCCTGCATTACAGGTGGATTCTTTACCACTGAGCCAGCTGGTAAGCCCCACATATACTTTTACATCCTTTTTTTTAAAAAAATAGTTTGGAAATGTCATGCACATTCCAGAAAAGACAACAGAGAAAAGTAAAATGATAATACGATAAACTGAATCATACCTTTTATCTCATTCACCTGGGGGTAGTAATCTCATAAACATGGAAAGGGAAAATCATGGGAAGACTTAAGCAGGAAAACATACTTCCTGCAACTCTCAACTTTTTACTATCCCTTTCTCTATAGTCTTCATGGCCCCTCCTGCCCTTGATTCACATTTATAGGGAGGAGTAGCTCTGACATTACTGAGGAGAGCTGAAAAGTCCCAGGGCAACTTGGCAGAACAGTCCCAAGACCTAACGAAGTTCAGGTAACAAGCAGTTACTGACCTGCCTCACTTAACTGACCACTATGTGCCTGCTGCCTGAAGCCTACCCCTTCCTGTATTTTCCTCTGTGGTCATCCTTAGAAAACTCCTGCTTAGGGAAAGTGATAAAGGAGGTCCTTGTTTCTTGTTCTCAGTGGGTAGCTGATTTTTCCTGGGAGACTCACCTGGTTCAAGAGCAGCAGTCACATATATATATATCTTATGTCTCACAAATATGTTTTTATCCTTTTAAGCTATATTCTACATACACTACAAAATATGAGCACTTCACTTTTCCCAGATATATTTAATCTTGTTTCTTAACCCAAGAAAGATGCTCTTGCAAATTAAAAAAAATCTTTCCACTGTCTTAATTGGATACTACTTAGGAGAAAACACTAATGGAGATAGTTCTCTCCTGATATTGTATGATTTTTTGTAAGTGAAAATAATGATTGACATCAAAGCTTTTAACAACCAGAAATCTGGTGGGGAAGGTACATCTAACTCCTGGGGAATATACATCCTTTCAGCTATACTCAGCTAAGTGAGCAATTAGCATCAAAGTGTTCCTAAGAAACATGACTTTCCAGTCTCAGTAATTTTACAAATTTAAATTTTCCTAATTTTCCAAGAAGTCATTGATCCTATACATTTTTAAAGTTATCTTGGAAGTTTTGAGTACTACAACTAATTCAAATACTACATGGAGAGATAAGGAAGCTTTTCTACTATTAAATTCTTCCAAAATTATCCTGACTCAAAAAAAGACTCCTGAAAACTTCAGAATGTTGTCTTGGATCAGTGGCTCTCCAACTATGAAAGTAAAAGTGGAAGTAACTTAGTTGCATCCAACTCTTTGCTACCCCATGGACTCAGGTCAGAATACTGGAGTAGATAGCCTTTCCCTTTTCCTACGGATCTTCCCAACCCAGGGATCGAACTGGGGTCTCCCACATTGCAGGCAGGTTCTTTATCAACGTCCAAGGCTTCTCTGTCCATAGAGTTCTCCAGGCAAGAATACTGGAGTGGATTGCCATTCCCTTCTCCAGAGGAATTTCCCAATCCAGGGATTGAACCCAGGTCTCCTGCCTCGCAGGCAGATTTTTTACTGTTTGAGCTACAGTCTTTATCAACTAAACTATCAGAGAACCACAACTATTGTGTGCACCAGAATCACCTAGGGGGCTTCCCTGGTGGCTCAGATGGTAAAGAATCTGTGTGCAAGGCAAGAGACATAGGTTTGATCCTTGGGTCAGGAAGATCCCCTGGAGAAGGGAATGGCAACCCACTCCAGTATTCTTACTTGGAGAATTCCATGGACAGAGGAGCAGGGCGGGCTGCAGTCCATGGTGTGGCAAAGAGTAAGACATGACTGAGCAACTAACACTTTCATTTTCAGAATCACCTACAGAGGGCTTGTTAAAAGTGTTAGGTCCTTCACCAGAGTTTCTGATCTAGTTGGAATAATATGGAACCTGAGAATTTACATTCTGAACCAGTTCCCAGGTGACACTGATGCTGCCACTGAGAATTATAGGAAACTTACTAGGCTATTTATGAAGACTCTAAAAATCCATAATTTTTTGGTAACGAACAGATAACTTGAGATAAGAAAGTGCTTTTAGCTCATGACGTGGTAAGAAAAATTTGTATCAGATGATTACTTTTACATCTTTTAATGGAAACTGAAAAGTTAAAGGTAACTATAAGAAAAAGAAAATCATAGGACTTAAATTTTCTCCCCAAACATACCATATTATGTTAAAGAAGAAAATTACAAACTAGGCAGACTAGCTCTATTATGAATAAAAAAGGGGAAAAACATTGTCTCAGACTGTTTAAAAGGCAACAGACACAAATATAGAGAACAAAACTAGTGGTTGACGATAGAGAGAGGGAAAGGGTCACGGGCAATATAGGGGTAGGGATTAGAAGGTACCATTATGCATAAAATAAGCTACAAGGACATACTGTACAACACTGGATATAGCTAATATTTTATAGTAACTAAAAATGGAATAAAAACTTGCTTAATATTATACATTGACTGTACTTCAATAAAAAAAAAAACAATTCATCCTCACAAAGGGAAATATACCACAATAAATGTGTGAAAATGCAATTTCACTAGTAAAGGAGTGAAAAGAAAAATAAGCAGTTTCAGAAGTATAGATTAAACAGTGCTGATTTAGAGTGGAGAAAAATAGGAACTCATAAGTGGCTAGTTGGAGAAAAATTAGTTAAAAACCTTTTTGGATACAATTTTGCAAGATGTATGGAGAGCCCTCCATAAAAGTATACATCTTTGACCCAGCAATTCTGAACAATTTATGCTAAGACAATCACTGGTTCTGCTCAAATAGGTACAGTCATTAATGTTCATCACATTTATGACACTAGAAGATTAGAAATAATTTAATAACCAATATTAGAGAATTAAATCAATTATGGCATATCTGAAGAATTGATGTTTTGGAACCGTGGTGTTAGAGAAGACTCTTGAGAGACCCTTGGACAGCAAGGAAATCAAACCAGTCAATCCTAAAGGAAATCAATCCTGAATGTTCATTAGAAGGACTGATGCTGAAGCTGAAGCTCCAACACTTAGGCCACCTGATGTGAAGAGCTGACTCACTGGAAAAGACTGTGATTCTGGGAAAGACTGAAAGCAGGAGAAAGGAACACCAGAGGATGAGATGATTGGATGGCATCACTGATTCAATGGACGTGAGTTTTAGCAAGCTCCAGGAGATGGTGAAGGACAGGGACGTCTGGTGTGCTGCAGTCCGTAGGGTCACAAAGGGTTGGACATGACTGAGCAACTGAAAAACTATGGCATATCCATATAGAGAAGTATCGTGCAGTTATTAGGAAATATACATTCTGTATTTACAGCTATGGAAAGATATTTTTAAGGGAAATACAGATTATGGAAGTTTGCTTAATATAATCCCTATATATATATATATACACACATATGTACATATATACATACACACATACGTAATGTATATTATAGTAGTCATGTATGATGTGAGAATGGGACCATAAAGAAGGCTGAGCATCAAAGAACTGGTGCTTTCAAAGTATGGTGCCAGAGAAGACTCTTGAGAGTCCCATGAACAGCAAGGAGATCAAATCAGTCTATCCTAAAGGAAATCAACCCTGAATATTCATTGGAAGGACTGATGCTGAAGCTCCAATATTCTGGACACCTAATATAAAAAGCTGACTCATTGGAAAAGACCTTGATGCTGGCAAAGATTGAAGGCAGGAGGAGAAGGAGGCGATAGAGGATGAGATGGTTGGGTGGCATCACCAACTCAATGGACATGAGTTTGAGCAAGCTCTGGGAGATAGTGAAGGACAGGGAAGCCTGGCATGCTGTAGTCCATGGGGTCGCAACATGGGCTTCCCAGGTGGTGCTAGTGGTAAAGAATTTGCCTGCCAATGCAAGAGATGTAAGAGATGCAGGTTTGATCCCTGGGTCAGGAAAATGACCTCGAGTAGAAAATGGTAACCCACTTCAGCCTAGAGAATCCCATGGACAGAGAAGCCTAGCAGGCTACAGTCCATACAGTCACAAAGAGCTGGACATGACTGAAGTGAGTTAGCACATAGAAATATGTATGTATCAAACATTTACTAAAATATATCTGCCTAGGGGTTTGGAAGTCTAAAGGGATACTTAGCAAAATGTTAACAGTCATTACATTTCCTTGTGTGTGTTCAGTCAGGATGGTACAATTTAGGGTAATTTTATTTTTAAAATATTTGCATATGTTTTTCTATATAATGACTGTGCATTTGTGGAATTAAGAAAGAAGTTAAAAAAAAAAAAAGAAAAAATAAGGCTGATCTTTAAAATACTCAATACTTTAGTCCAAAGCTAGAATTTACCAATGTTTTCTTTCTAAGTCACAGCCTCATTGTTAAAAATTCTAGGATTTTTTTTTAATCAATTCTAGCTGTTATCACCTCCTGTTTGTTAAATGTCACATATACTTTTAATTTGTTTTACCCTACTAGTACCAAATTTACTTGTACTAATTTAGGAAATGTAACCAAAGTGCCATTTTAGAAAAAATTCTCAAGAGAAATATTTAACTAGGTTATAGTTTAGGCTTAAGTGTTCAGAGCTGAGATTTTCATTCTTTTCTCTGACCTTGTGTCAGCCAATGAAACGTGAATGATTTTTAACAGTGTAATTTAAGTAAATACTGCACAAATTTAAATTACTATGTCAGGCAAAAAAGACACACTCATTTTCTTTAACGAATGACAGCATAAGTCCCTGAAGAATGCATGTACTCAAGCAAAAAAATAATTTTTTTTAAATGCATAACCAGTAATGCTACCTACTGAGATGTAATTTGGGTCTTTCATTCTTTTAATGGCTAGTAACATAGCTTATACACAAATCACAAAAAGGAAAGACTGAAAATACTTATTGGTTCTATTATAAAGAAAATAGCTAAATCAAAGGTAAATGTAAAAAAGAGTAAATGTTGCAAAATAAGAAAAATTTTAGGCTCTCACAGTTATTTTCCTATATGAATGATAACAGTACCCCAAGTAAGTATAATAAAAGTAACCTCAAATAAATTAGCACAGAGCACTGGGAATATTTCTAAATATAGCTCTCGGCAGTCCAAAAAATAAGAAGTCACTTATTTTCTATACCCCTAAATATAGGTTTAAGATAGGACTTGGTATAGTCCTACAATGTGTGAAGACTTTATAAATCCAAATGTAAATATCCTTGTATTCTTTATGCTTTTCCTTCTTCATATATAGCAAACACTGAATTCATGTTTACCTACTGTACAAACCACCTACTGTTCTAAACACTACCCTTGGCAAAAATGTAAGGGTAATATTAATTTTAGTTAATTTTCTGATTTATCAATAAAATGGGTATTTCCATAGTGGAAGCAAATATAGAGGATTTATCAAATAAATGATGACATTATGAAAAATGTATAAGAAATTTAAAAATTCACATCAGTAAGACAAACTGAATTTATAAATTTTTAACTGGGATAAAGACATTTTTATTTAGACATAAAATCAACTTTATAAGCAAATTTGTATCCAAGAATTTAAAATCCCTAAATGGCTACTTTGCTTTGAACAAATAGAGTTAATGGACTTCAAAATAAGTAATCAAATATCAGGCCTCCAAGTTGCTGGGTGTTTTCAATTTCGTTTTGGTTCATTTACTAAAGAAAAACTGCACATACAATTAACTACATTTAGTTGTCTGCAGAGGAAGTCAGTCAACAAGTAAAAGCTATGCCTCTGTAGTGAGTGTGGCTGCCTAACTGCTGAACCTAAGTGTCAGAGCTGGCAATGAAATCTAATGATGCGGTTCATACAAACAGGAGTAGAGAACACATCTTGTCTTGGCTCTGAACCTCCAATATAATCTGTTTCTTGAAATCTGTGTTTTTGTCTAAGTATACCCAATATGGCTTTTTAAAAAGAGACAGAAAGTAGTTGTGGGAGAAAACACCACTTAAAAAATCTTGTAAGACCAGCAAAATTCCCATTATTCCATTTCCTTGGAATGAAACCATACTGGAATGTTGGAAATGTTTTGTATTCAAAGAGCCAATGTTCAACACCATTTAGCAAGTAAGAAAAATGATAAATATGTATTGAGAGTTCCATGGCACTTCATAGGATTTAAAACTGCTATGCCTACATTTATTCCTAAGAAAAACAAGAAATATGTATTGAGTAGTATTGGCACGTCTTAGGACTTAAAACTCCTATGCTTACATTTATTCCTTCTATAATAAGAGAATATGACTTTAATTAAAGCACCCTAAAGCAATTTGATATTGTTCCAAAATGTTATATTGGTGGGTTGTCAGAATTGTGATTTTTAGGTAAAGGGTATTTTAATTTTTCTTTTTTTTTTTTGGCCATGGCCTGCAGCATGTGGGATCTTAGTTCCCTGACCAGAGATTGAACCTCTGTCTCCTGCATTGGGAGCAGAGAGTCTTAACCACTGGACTGCTGGGGAACTCCTGGTAAAGGGTACTTTAAATGCTGGTGTTATGAATATGCTTAAGAGAAAATTTAGTGAAATAATCAAGAAATTTTTAGATCTCACACAATAATAAAAAGCACTTTTAAATAATCAAGGACTCTCATATCACCATCATAGGTATCTCAGTTGAAAAAGATGTTAGTTGACACTATAGTTTTAGTTTGAGCTGACAAGTATCACAATTAGAGGCTCAACAAGGATGCACTTTGGGCCAAACAGCCAAATATATAAAGAACACTCAAGCACAGCTTTTTAAAAAATGACATTTTTATTTAAAATATTTCACAATGTGAAATTTCCCAGAGAATACTGAGCAAATCATGTAGCAAATAGCCCTTTTCTCATTTTTATTTAACAGTACACAGAATCCCCCTGCCAATGAAGGAGACTCGGGTTCTATCCCTGGGTCGGGAAGATCTCCTGGAGAATGAAATGGGGTTACAAGAGTGGGACACGACTTAACGACTGAACAATGACAACAGATTCTTCCATACCACATGTCACAATACCATGTGATCTGACTTCTGCCCACACTGCATGCCTGAAACAGTACTTTCAGGGCAGAAAGACAGAGTGATTAAGAACACTGTTCCTAAAATCAGACAATCCCTGGTATGAATCTTGGCTCTGCCAATTATTTCCTATTCAACCTTGAACAAATAATTGAAGTAGTTTTATTCTCTTGATAAAAGAAGGCAAATAATAAACTTCATGATAGGTTTGCTGCAATAATAAAAGCCAGTAAAAGTGTATTAAGTGCTTAAGAACAGTGCCTAACACAGAGTACTTACAACAAATACATACTGCTCTTGTTACTCTGCTTTGAGCACTGTTGTCCAACAGCTGACTTCCAACTCAAGAGTTTACCCCAATTCCACTGCATGTCTTGCATATTATAGAATAAAAGTTGTTACAAGGACCAAAGGTAAAAAGTAAGACACAACAAACCATTTTTTAAAGAAATTAGTGAACATTCTTTACTGATCTGTGAAAAAACAAAATAGAATAAACTCCTTACCATGATTAGTACACTGATTTCTGACATCCTCTATGCTTTCAACTTTGATGGCTTCTTGAAGAAAAATGTAACAACTGTCTTGGAACTGAACCCAGGTGGATGAAGGGCAGTCTATGGGGAAAAAGAGAAACACTGTTAAATAACTTTAAAATGAGAATTTCATGAACTCTTAAAGATATGAGATACTAAATTTTCATAGAAAAAAGAATGGCTATTTCTATTAACATTTCATATAGTTATCAACACCTTTGGGTTTATATCTACCACCTCACTGTTTGTTTTCTATCTGTCCTACTTGATTTATGTTTTTTCTTCCCCTGTTGTCTTTTTGGATTATTAAACAATTTTATATTCTATTTTTCTTTTAGCTTATTAATTATATATTCTTTAATTTTTTTCCTAGAGTGGGTACCCTGAAAATTACACTGCAATCTTGATTTATTAGTACCTAAAATAAATTAGTACTTTTACCATTTCCTAGACAACTCTAGGATCTTACAATAGTTTAACTTCCCTCCCTTTGTGCTATTGTTCTATTACTATTTCGCGTGGCCAATGTTCATTTAAACACATATTTATCCTCTCTGTTGCTTTTCATTCTTATATATTTGAATTACTTATTTGAATAATTTTCTGTCTGCCTGAATAAACCCCTTTAGTGTTTCTTTAAGGATAGATCTACTACAAATTCCCTCAATTTGTGATTTTCTGTAAATGTCTTTATATTTTCTTCCCATTTAGATATTTTTGCAAATAAAAAATTCTTGAAAGGAAGCTTATTTTTCATTGAAGATGTAATTTTACTGTTTTGGCTTCTATCATTCCTATTGAGAAATCAAGGTCAGTCTGATGGTTGCCCTTTGGTGGCTGCTTTCAAGATTTTCTTTGTCTTTGATTTTTAGTAGTTTGACAGTGGTATCTCTAGTATTTTTTTGAATCCTGCTAATAATGCAACACAACTATTCAATCTATGGCTTTATTTTCATTGCTCACTTTTGCAAAGTTCTTGGCCATCATCATCACTTTCAATAATGCTTTTCCACTTTCTTTCCCCTCCATTTCTGGTACTCAAAATACACATAGGTTAGAGTTCACATGTTCAATATGTTCACTTTGTTCCTATTTTTAATGCCTTTGGTGCTCCATATCATAATCTTGTTCTTTATGGTGTACTAACCTACTCTTTGGGCTTTCCCAGTGGCTCAGAGGTAAAGAATCTGCCTGTGATACAGAAGATGCAGGAGACCTGGGTTCGATCCCTGGGTTGGGAAGATCCCTTGGAGAAAGAAATGACAACCAACTCTAGTATTCTTGCCTGGGAAATCCCATGGCCAGAGGAGCCTGGCAGGCAACAGTCCACGGGGTGGCAAGAGTCAGACACAACTTAGCGACTAAGCGCACACACATGTGCAGTCTGCTCTTCAGTTTTTAACAAATCTGTTAAACCTATCTATTGAGTTCATAATGTCAGCTATTTTTCAGTTACACAATTTCCATTTGTTTGTACTTTTATAGATTCTGAGTTTCTGGTGAAATTCTCAACCTTATAAATGTTCTCGAACTTATTACAATTATTTTAAAGTTCATTTTCGAAAACCCTAATTTCTGTATTATCTATTGGTCTGTTTTTATTTATTTTCCCTGCTTTGGCCTGTTTCCTGTTATGCCTGGTAGTTTTTGTTTTCTTTTTTAAATATCAAATACCAGATACTGTGCAGGAAAAATTGCACAATATCTGGTATTTGATATTTAAAATTAAAAAATTGCAGAGCCTCGGGATGATGTCATTCTCCCCAGAAAGGATCCTGGCACGCAGCTGGCATACTGAAGATTATTTAAATACAATCAAGGGTTGATTCCACCTGAGCGAGCTGTTACAATCTCTGTGAGGCCCGATATCCATAGATTACAAGTGAAGCCTGCAGATTAGCTAGCGTCCCTCCTCTTTGGTAAGTAAAAACTCAAATTTTTGTCTCATTAATACTGTGTGAATGCCAAAAACTCTGCTCTCTTTTTAGCTCCTTAAAATGGGGGCAACTCTCCTAAAGGGAAAAGTAATACACAGGACAGTGGGCTCACGTCAACAAGCTGCCTAAACAACTCTCTGATGCCTGCAGATACCATTATTACAGAATTTCATCTAGATTTTCCAGTTGCTTTTTGGGGGAGTGTTAGTCCAGTCCCACTTCACTAGAGTCAGAAGCAGAATCTCCTCTTTCACACTTCTGAGTAAGTTATTGATAACTGTCACTACCATCATCCATCCAACAATCATTGGCTGAGCATCTCCCGTGTGTCAGAGACAACAGTTAGTACCAAGGAGTAAGGATAAAAGGATTTAAGACAGTGGTCCCCAGCCTTTTGGCACCAGGGATTGGTTTTGTGGAAAACAATTTTTCCACAGATTGGGGCAGGCTGGGGTTGGGGGGCGGTGAGGAGAGTATGGGAAGGAGGGGTATGGTATCAGGATGATTCAAGCACATTATATTTATTGTGCATCTTATTTCTATTATTATTAAATCAGCTCCACCTCTCAGATCATCAGGCATTAGATCCTGGAGGTTGGGGACCTCTGATTAAACGGGAATGAGTCTTACACTTTAAGTGTTCAGTCTGCTAGGAGAGTCAGACACACATACATATCAAAGGTATGAGAGGTTAAATGTTTCGAGACTATAGAAGAAGAAAGTAACTTGCTCCCCTGGTGGCTCAGATGGTGAAGAATCTGCCCGCAATGTAGGAAACCCGGGTTTGGTCAGATCCCCTGGAGAAGGGAATGACAACCCACTCCAGTATTCTTGCCTGGGAAACCCCATGGACAAAGGAGCTTGGCGGGCTACAGTTCGTGGGGTCACAAAGAGACAGATGTGGCTGAGTAAGCACACACACAGATAAAAAAGGAGTAAGCAAACATTTCAAAAAGGAGATAATATTTGAGCTGCAATTCACAGGATAACTTTACCACGTAGAAAAGGAGAAAGATGAAGAAATCCCAGGTAGAGAGACCACCATAAAAACCACAATGAGAAGAGTCACATATTCGTTGAAAGGGTAAACTAGGCAGGTCTCTCCTGTCCCACACTCCTGCCATCACATGTTTTTTGTATTAAGACATGATAGAAAAAAAGCAGTCATTTCCAGAATGAAACTCAAATTGAAAGTCAGGAGGGCATATACTCTGAATTGCAAACTTTGACTTTCGTATTTTTCTTCTGGTTCCCTTTGTTGTTTTTCCTTTACTCTTATAGAATTTTAAAAAATGGAAATAGAAACAAACTCCATTACCACATTTAATGCCACTTGAAACACCTTTACATATCACTGAAAATTCTTGGACCATGGGCTGAGAAATGCTCTTGTGTATTATTTCTAGTTAAAGCTACACACAGGATTTTTTAATGATAATAAATAACTCAAGAATAAAAAAATAATTTTTGAAATATCGTTTAAATGGAATAAAGCCTGTCTATTAAGTATATAAAATATAATTAACACCAAGTGAAGTGAAATTTATAAATTGTTTCTTTGTACACTTGTATTGGGTTGGCCAAAAAGTTGACTCAGTTTTTTCCATGTGATCTTACTAAAGAGCTGAACAAACTTTTTGGCCAACCCAGTAATTCTTAGGCTTTATGATTACAATGAACTCTGATTTCCAAATCATCTATAGACTAAACTGTATTCTTTTGTTCAGTGGCAGCTCATGTGTCAATTCTCTGTGAAGTATCCAACCTTCACCTTCCTTAAACTCTGACCCCTCTGAACTTCTGAAGGATTTTACACTATACAACATGTGAGAGGCCTTTTCTCGTTATAAAGACTAAAGACTTGTTTTGGTTACCCCACATGATAGAGACTTTCTGCAAGGATACCTGGGATAATAAGAAATCTAAGGGTAATCTCCTAGCAGTCAAATAGACCTCCTAGTGTTCTTATACCAGGTACCCTCTTGGGTTTCTACCTAGCTTAGAGTAGTCAGTTTTTTAATTAGGAAACTACCCTTATTTTGATTAGCTGTGGCTTGGATGGTGAGCAAGTCAAGGCCCTAGGCACAAAAACCATAGGTAGCCTATCTTCTTGGAAAAGGGGCTGTATTACCCCTTGAAGACGAACACATATTCACGTGCACTGATCATCATAAAGGTGACATATAAAAAAAGAGACCTGAAGGACCTGGGGAAAAAAAAAAAGCCAAATGCTTATCTAGGTCACACAGGCCTCTGAGTTGGAAGTATTATGATAATGATAATTGACAAAGACCCTTGTTGAATAATTAAATAAGCAGTATGTGCTCAGACTAAAAGAAAAACAAAACACAAATAAAAACAAAAATCTACAGGCAGAAAAAGTAAAAAATTGTTAACTTCATATTCTTTAAACTTTCAACAGCGTTCTCCTCAGGCTTATTTCAGCATTAACACTAACTCCAGTTAATTCAGCACTGAACCCCTCTTCTCATGCTACCAGAGTGTATGCCCCCAAAACAAGATTTAAGCACTACTCAAAAAATGTATTTTTACTCTGAGAAGAAGAGTTTTCACACAGAGGCTGATACCTCCTATGACAGAACTAACTGAGGTTCACACGTACAGAAAAGCTAAACTAATTATGTTTTGTTCTATACTTCTTAATATTGTACAATTACAATCTTTGACAATTATTAGTTACTCAGAAATAAAAAAAAAGGTTAAATTTTCAGTGCTAAGTGTCTTTGCTATAATCCTGTTACAATGAAAAACCTGCCTTCCAGAATACTGGCGTAAGTTTCCAATTACCTGTAATATTTTCTAGAAAATATATTTCAATAAACATACTTTGCTCAAAAGAAAAAACTATCCTGCTCACAATGCTCTCTCCAATGTGCTTCTCTGTTATTCTTCCTTTTACACAGTTGTCCTGAAAGATAGGTTGCACCTAAAGGACTCTTTGATGCTTTTGAACTGTGGTGTTGGAGAAGACTCTTGAGAGTCCCTTGGACTCCAAGGAGATCCAACCAGTCAATCCTAAAGGAAATCAGTCCTGAATATTCCTTGGAAGGACTGATCCTGAAGCTGAAACTCCAATACTTTGGCCACCTGATGTGAAGAACTGACTCATTGGAAAAGACCCTG